GATCGGGCGCTTGCTTGTGGCGTTTTGATACTTGGTTGTATGCCGAGGCCATCGATTGCATTGCTTGCATTGCATGCATTGCACTGCAGCGCATCGATGAGTCTATGCACATCATCAGATGTCACCTTCCTGACCCCTCCCTCCCCGCCTCTCCTCTGAGTGTGCCGGTGACCGACACGCCCAGCGATACCTCTGACACACACGGTCAAACGGACAGCCCACCTGTTTGTTCATCATCATTATCCGCACCCAATCACACACACAAAGCGACGCACACAGGCACGCACACACACATCACATCACACAGCAAGGCCGGCCGGATGGAGGGAGAGGGGAGTCACATAACAAACAGACAAGCTCGAGCATTCACAAAATCATCATGCTGCCGACAGGGAGCATCCCACAGACGGCGGACCACTCACTGCACTGACTGACTGCAGACAGGCAGGCACACTGTCAGCGGCTAGGCACACAGACACAGGAAACGCCTGTCTGCCGCCCGAGTGAGGGGGGAGGGAGCGCCAGCAACAAAGAGCTCACGAGGCCAGGCCACACGTCTGTGTGTGCGAGAATGATACACACAAACAAAGCTGGACCAGGACAGTCGGCAGGGAGTCAAGTCGTCAGCGATGTCCGGTCCAAACCAATCGGTGCGGGCGGCAAGGCCTGGCCACAGCCCAGTGGGTGCGAGTCGACCCTCCAGCCAGCCAGTGCTACTCTCTAAAAGCCTACACAGCCACACACACATCATCATGTGTGTGTGACGAAAACAGACACATGTGTGCAGGTCAGCCACCGAACGAACATAAGGCCTGCAGACGGCTACAGGTCAGTGTCGTGTCGTGTGGTGCCGTGTGCAGTGTGGTGAGAGGTAGTCGTCTTAGTTAGTCAATCGGATCCGTGGGTGCGCCGATTAATCAAACCGGACAGACACACAGAGGCGCCACGGACGACAAGTGTGTCTTGGCGGTCGGGTGTGATATGGAGCGGGCCGCACCCAAAAGCGCCAAAGCAGTAGAGGAGCAGTCAGTGAGTCAGTGGGTGGCTGCCGTTATACATCCACACAAACAGCACATTTTGGGTGAGTGGAGTGAGTGAGTCAGTGAGTATGTCGAATGAATGAATGAACCATATCGTGGACCAAAAATACCATAAAACTACAGTCAGTGAGTGAGTCAGTGAGTCAGTGAGTCGACACGGATGCACACAGGCATGGCCTTAGGCTCACGCCACTACACGCATCTCACGCACCGCACCGCACCGCACCGCACCCATCATGGGTGAATGAATGGGAAACACACCAAAAATATGCACTCAGTCACTCAGTCAGTATGTCGGAGGATGCACATGCACCCATCCACCAGTACCGCCAGCACTCCGCACCCCCGCATGCAGACAGGAGGGCGGCTCGGGCCCCACCCCACACCCACGGGCATCACGCCGGCGGTGCGGGCCATCTGCAGATCCGTCCACTAGCATCCCCGACAAAGAGGGCGTTCTGCTGGTCCACAGAGAGCTCCGACAGATCTCCGTGACCATTTGGGGGCTTGGTTTGCCGAGACACTCTGTGGGTGTTCGGGAGGCCGCGAAGGGACTTGCCTGTGGCGACCGCCAGACGGACACCATGGCGCCGGAGGGCTCAACCTGACGAAGAAAATGAAGACAGTGGGGACGTGTGTGTGTTTGTATGTGTGTGTGTGTGTCGATGCGATGTACCTGTGTCTCGATTTCCCTCCAGTGTCCTCTAGGATGGCCGTGACATCTTCCGCCCGCTCCCCTGTTGCTGGTGTGTAGGCAGACCCCTGCTGTGAGACACCGTCGCGAGCCCATCGCTGCCGCCTCCCATGCCCCCGCCCTGCCCGGGACGCCCGTGACGCTCGAAGACACGGCGGCACTGTCGGTATGCCACGCGAGACGCATCTGGTGCGCCCCCGCTCTCGTTGCCATCACTCCGGCACACAGTGGATGGCGTCCTCGTGTAGCCCTCGCCGCTGGGTGGAGAGAAGTGGTTGCAATGTGGGGGTCTGCCGGCTGGCCTCGCCCCCGGGGGTCTGCCGGCTGGCCTCGCCCCCGCCAGCACCCCTCTCGATGCCGCCCAGGTTGGCCATGGTCGGGCACAGCTCCTCGCTGCGGCTGGGGATGGGGTGGCCGGGCTGTGTGGGCTCGATTGGCAGCAGGGCGTCACTGATAGAGGAAGCAGCGGCAGCTGTCGCACAGGGGGGGTGTGGTCTCTGCTGCTGCAGTGATGTGGTGGTGTGCGCGATGACTATCCGTGGCGGGCTGGGGGGAGCCGACGTGTGGACACGCGTGGAAATGCGGGGCCTTGAGGGCCTTGGCCACTGATGGGGCTGACGGACAGTCAGCCCCGCCCACCGATCTATGGCTGCCCTTCCACGCCACTACTCTTTAAGAGCAGTGAGCGCTTCCAGGCAGCCATCGTGGGCTCGTCGTCGGCTCCCTCCCTGCCTCCTTGTCGAGGCTGCCTCCAGTCCTCCCTCCCCATCCCGTTTTGCGTGTCTGCGTCACCGCCGCCGCCGCCATTGGCCGTCAAGATGGAGGGGAAAGCAGCCGGCTGTCCTGACGACGTCTCACCGTCACACATTATCGACCCATCGGCAGCAGCAGCGGTTACCGCTGCCGCTTTCTTGGGCTGATCGATGCCATGGTCTCGTCATCCTGCTGCTGGTGTTGCTGGTGTTGTGGTGGTGGTGGTCTGTGTGGTCAGGGGGCTGCCACTGAGTAGGGGAGGGGGTGCTGGGTCGGGTGCCTCGGGAGGGGGGGAGGCTGTGGCGTTGCCGATGCCGGCGGCGTCTGCTGTGGTGCTGTTGATGATGGACGCGTCGAGCATCTGCTTCTTGATCTCGATCTTGATGCCACGCTCGTTGGACGGACGGGTCGTCGACATGGACTGGCCGCCCACACCTGCACGCACAGACACCCCCACACACTGCTCGCCATCGTTCTCCGTCTTCCTGGTTGTGTGACGGACCAGATCGCCTGTTGCCGAAGAAGTTTTTCTGCCCGTTGTTGCCCCATGCGCTGCCCGAGACGCCATTATCATTGCCGAAGAGCCCCGTGAGGCCCGTCGTGGGGCTGTCGCCGTTGTTGTCATTGCCGTTGGTGGCGTGTCCTGACTGCTGGTCCAGATCACTGTCCCCCCCATGCCGATGTGCTGAACAGAAAATTGCCGTCGGTCCCATCGCCGCTCTCGACAGCGTCAGATACGTCAGGTGCGCCCCCGCTCTGGTCGCCATCACTCCGGCACACAGTGGATGGCGTCCTCGTGTAGCCCTCGCCGCTGGGTGGAGAGAAGTGGTTGCAATGTGGGGGTCTGCCGGCTGGCCTCGCCCCCGTCAGCACCCCTCTCGATGCCGCCCAGGTTGGCCATGGTCGGGCACAGCTCCTCGCTGCGGCTGGGGATGGGGTGGCCGGGCTGTGTGGGCTCGATTGGCAGCAGGGCGTCACTGATAGAGGAAGCAGCGGCAGCTGTCGCACAGGGGGGGTGTGGTCTCTGCTGCTGCAGTGATGTGGTGGTGTGCGCGATGACTATCCGTGGCGGGCTGGGGGGAGCCGACGTGTGGACACGCGTGGAAATGCGGGGCCTTGAGGGCCTTGGCCACTGATGGGGCTGACGGACAGTCAGCCCCGCCCACCGATCTATGGCTGCCCTTCCACGCCACTACTCTTTAAGAGCAGCGAGCGCTTCCAGGCAGCCATCGTGGGCTCGTCGTCGGCTCCCTCCCTGCCTCCTTGTCGAGGCTGCCTCCAGTCCTCCCTCCCCATCCCGTTTTGCGTGTCTGCGTCACCGCCGCCGCCGCCATTGGCCGTCAAGATGGAGGGGAAAGCAGCCGGCTGTCCTGACGACGTCTCACCGTCACACATCATCGACCCATCGGCAGCAGCAGCGGTTACCGCTGCCGCTTTCTTGGGCTGATCGATGCCATGGTCTCGTCATCCTGCTGCTGGTGTTGCTGGTGTTGTGGTGGTGGTGGTCTGTGTGGTCAGGGGGCTGCCACTGAGTAGGGGAGGGGGTGCTGGGTCGGGTGCCTCGGGAGGGGGGGAGGCTGTGGCGTTGCCGATGCCGGCGGCGTCTGCTGTGGTGCTGTTGATGATGGACGCGTCGAGCATCTGCTTCTTGATCTCGATCTTGATGCCACGCTCGTTGGACGGACGGGTTGTCGACATGGACTGGCCGCCCACACCTGCACACACACACACCCCCACACACACTGCTCGCCATTCTCCTCCGTCTTCCTGGTTGTGTGACGGACCAGATCGCCTGTTTCCGAAGTTGTTCCTCTGCCCGTTGTTGCCCCATGCGCTGCCCGAGTCGCCGTTGTTGTCATTGCCGAAGAGCCCCGTGAGGCCCGTCGTGGGGCTGTCGAGCCATTGTCGTCATTGTCATTGGTGGTGTCCTGCTGGTCCAGGTGATTGTCTCCCCCCATGCCGATAGACAGCCCATTGCCGTCGCCGCACCAGAAGCGCCTCTCTGCCTCACTCAGACTCGACCACGGACGGGATGCCTTCAGCCTGACGGACGACGGACACACGTGAGGGATCATCTATGTGCACCACATCGATGATGTGTGTGTGTCAGTGTCAGTGCTCACTTGGGTGCGACGAGTATGGTGATGAGTCCGTCCTCACAGCCGTCATGGTCCGCGTCGTGCAGCTCGATGAGTATGTCGTCGTTGGTGTGGACGTCGCCCATGGAGGCCCTCCATGGCGAGATCATGTCGTACAGCGCGTAGCCCAGGTCGTCGGTGTAGAGCTTCGACTGGCGGGAGGACGACCCGCGACTCGACGACAGACCGTCCAGACCACCGCTGCCGCCCCCGAAGGAGCCGTTGAATGACGTGTAGTGTGTCATCTTGCATGAGCCGTAGAGGAGGCTATCGCTGGTGCTGGTGGGGGCAAGTTCTCGTAGAGGTCATTGTCGCATGTGGAGTCGATGGCATTGGTGTTGCCGTCGCCACCACCAGCAGCGGTGGCGCCTGTTGAGGACGAAGAAGAAGACGCGGTGGCCATGTTCACGTCGCCCTCTCGGTCGACGAGGGGCTGCTGCTGCTGCTGTTGCTGCTCGGGTGGCTGGTCGGGTGCTGCGTCTGATCGGGGTGTGGAGAGCTCCTTGAAGTCCTCACTCTTGACGCGAAGCAAGTCGACGAAGGGCTGCTGCTGCTGCTGCTCGGGTGGCTGGCGACACACACAGATCGCTCCCCCCCTCCGGCCTCACAGAGCGTTAACAGACAGACAGACTGACAGAGCGGCCCCCTCTCTCACTCACTCACTCACTCACAGACAGACAGACAGACGGATCGGCCCCCAACATGCACTCACACAATCTAACTCTCTCCCCCCCGCCCTCCCGGTCACTGGCCTCCGCAGCAGCTCTTCACCGCCCGGCAGAAGGCGGCCCCCACGGACTCGGCGGCGTGGCAGGCCGCCGACCACCCGAATGCCACCGCGGTGCAGACGTCCTGGCCGGCCGCCCGCACCTCGTACAGCAAAGGGTGGTCGGTCGCCTCCCACAGCTCCCACACGCCGCTGGCCTCGCTCTTGTACCAGCCGGCCTCCACCGGGGCGTCCACCCGCACCCACTTGGCCTTGAAGGCCTCGAAGCCGATGCCCTCGGCCTGGGTGTGGTGGATGGGGTGGGGGGACGCCTCCGGATGGTGCTGGTGGCTGGTGTGTGGCTGTGGTGGGGCCATCGGGAGGTGGGTGGGCGTGTAGGGGTAGATAAGGGGCGGGTAGGCGATGGTGGCGGCCGTGGTGGGGATGGCGTGTGGGCGGGATGCCTGGGCGGCGGCTTCGCGGCGGGCGATCCTAGCCTCGACGCGGGCGATCTCGGCCTCGAGCTCCGCCCTCTCCTTGGCCCGTCGCTCGGCCCGCTTCTGAACAACACCACACACGGCACACATGGCAGTCAGGTGACGATGTGGTGCGCAGGGAAAGTGTTACCCGCTCGATTTCGATGATCCCTTTCATGGCCAGCTCCTCGCAGCGGGTGACCTCCTCGGGCGACATGCGGCTCAGCCGCTTCTTGAGCTCCTGCAGGACACAGCAAACAGCACAGACGTGACGGCTCTCCCTCTGTCCCTCTCATTGGGTCTTTCTGCGCACCTCGTGATAGTAGACCCTCAATATGGCGTAGTTGGTCCAAAACGTGTCCTCGTCGTCCTCGAAGTTGGGCCAGCTGACCTCCTCCGGGTCCCTGGGCTTGAGGACGTATTTGGGCAGCTTGGGCATGGCGACAGCTGGGGCAACAGAGAGGGGCGGGGCGACAGACAGACACAGAGAGGGGGACGGGACGGCACAGCAGCAACAAGTGCGACAGCAGCAGCGACAGAGGCAGACGGGGGCACTGTGGCACGCACAGAGCTCCTTCGGTGCTTCTCTGGGCGATCGCGCGCTCTTGGCTCGCAGTTCCTCTCTCTTGCAGCCGCAGCTGTTTGTTTGTGGCGTTTTGACACTTGGTTGTGTGCCGGGGCCTATTGCATTCCATTGCATTGCATTGCATTCCATTGCATTGCATTGCAGCGCATCGATGAGTCTATGCACATCACCAGTGAGTGTGCCGGTGACCGACACGCCCAGCGATACCTCTGACACACACGGTCAAACGGACAGCCCACCTGTTTGTTCATCGTCATTATCCACACCCAATCACACACACAAAGCGACGCAGACAGCCACACACGCCGCAGACACACGTGCATCCTAGACAGCCACACACGCCGCGCACACGCACGTGCATCCCATCCCAGACAGCCATTGACGTGCCCACCGCCCCCGCCAGTATGTTTGTATGTGTAGCTGCTACGTCACCCACCCACTCACTCACCCACCCACCCACCCACCAGTCAGTCTATCTATGTGTGCAAGTTAGTCTCTTCAGCCTCGCTGCCGGCTGCCCTCCCCTTGTGCAGCACGGCTGCCACCCGCCGCCCACGGCCACATCACTCCATCTGTCCGCCCAGCCGTGTTGGCCGTGGCGCCGTGGTGCACGTGATACTGCTGCACTGGTGGTGGCTGTTGGTTCACATGTGCTGGGGCCGGTGCGGGGCGGTGTGGCGACGTCAGCACTAAGGGCGGGCCGGGCGATGCACTGCCAAACCGCCCGGTACCAGGGTGAGGGAGTGCAATGAGGTGGGGCGGGGCAGCGGGGGGCGATGGCTGGGCGGCAAACAGAGACGGGTGGGGGGGTAAGATGGGAGGGGGCTGTGGGTAGAAGTGGCTGGCTATGTTGGGCATCAGGTAGTCGTGTGCCGGGCCGGGCGTCGCGGCACTCACCTAAGTAAGGCGCAGACCGACACGGATGGACGCAGTGAGTGCAGTCAGTGGACGGACAGATCGGTGGCTCATGTGTGAAGAGACGTCCTGCTTACAGGGAGGTTGACAACACGAGAAGAGCTCGTCGAGGGGCCGCCAGCAGCGGGTGCAGACACGGCTGCGCTGCCGACAGGCGCCTGTGCATAACATTAAGGGAGAGACCGTCTGGGCTGGTACATGTGCCTGCCTGTGCCGGTGGCTGCTGCTGTGTGTACCTGCTGTTGGTTGTCCTGATGTGTCAAGTGCTGCAGTCGGTCGCGCAACACAGCCATCTGTGCCTCTGCACACACATACGCAGACGGATACGCTGTCCGTCCATAGAGACCGTGGCAGAGCTGACTTACGGTGCGACTCCTCAGAGAGGTCCGAGGCTGAGACGTTCCTCAGCTGCTGTAGAAAATCTTGATACAGGGGCAGAAAAAGCCCCTCGTCCGTCGACGTCTCGCTTGTCCCTCCTCCCTCCTGCTGCTGCTGCTGCTGCTGCGATGGAATCCGCACTGCTGTCGTCCGCAGGTTGCCCCCCCCGGCTCCCTCAGGTGCTACTGCTTGCGGCGATACTACGGCCGGTGCTGCTGTTGCTGCTGCTGCCGATGACAGTGTAGGTGCTCCCTCGTGCAGAGAGGGGGGCGGGGCGATGGACAGCGGGGGCAGCGTGGGGGGGAGATGGGGGTGATCTGATGCCTGCATGCACGTGAGAGCAAAACAGGGCACCCACACGGATCTATGTGTCAATGTATTTGTGTGTGAGTGTCTGGCTGCCCATTCAGTGTGCGCATGGAGGCGTACGTACGTACCTGACGATCTCCAGTAGCTGTCCCTCCCTCTGTCTCTGGCTGCGGCTGCTGCTCCTGCAACTCCAGCCGCCCCGCTTCGACCAGCCGTGGTGTCGTCTGCTCGACCGCCTTGGCCGCCACAGAGACAGCCGATGAGGCCGCAGCTGCCAGTGGCAAGGCGGCGCCATCAGGGCGGCTGTCGGACATGCGAGAAGGGGCTTCAGCAGGTGGTGGCTCGTCAGCAGGTGGCTTCACGCTGCGTGAGTCTTCGCTGCTCGATGGTGACGCTGCCGCGGCCGCAGCGGCGGGAACGCCGTCGACACCAGACAACCTGCCCTTGATGATCTGTCAAGCAAGACACACATATATGCATCATATAAATGTGAAGACATCCATCCATCCACAGGCAGTTTTCTTCCTCTCTCTCTCTCTCTCTCACCTTCTGGAATGTCGCGGCGCCTGATGGTGCGGCAGGCCGGGTCTTCAACATCTGCACACACACACACACACACACGCACAGAGAGAGAGAGAGAGACCAACAATTGTGGCACCCGCCCCACTCACCCACGCACCCAACGATATATACCGCCCGTGTGCGTACCTTGTTCCAGTCATCTTTCTCCTTGGGCGTCAGGATGAGCCGCTTGGCTCCTGTGGGCAGCTGGAGGCTCTCTGCGGGGCTCGGGTTGAGCACCAGGCTGTCGACCTGCGGGCTGTTGATGACGTGCAGTGCCTTCATGAGCGGCTCTAGCATGTTATCCAAATCGCACCTGCTGTCGGGGAGCAGGTGCAGCGCCGTGAGCGACACCTCCCCCAGGACGCCCTGGACGTACTCGACAATGTTGCCGAGTATGGGGAATGCCTGTGCGGCCGGGGTGTCGTGCAGTATCAGGCCGTCACCGCGTGGCTCCATGCGACCGATCCCATGATCGGTGCACATCTGCTGGAGGGTGTGCGGCCAGTCGAGCATGAGGCGCTTCCAGTAAGCCGTCTCGAGCTCGCTGTCATCGAATGCATCGCCCTCAGGCCGAGTGCTCGTCATGAATTGGATCAAGTCCATCCCCAGCAATCCGTGCTGGATCTCGAGGCCGAAGTGGAACACCGCTACTTTTTCTCCGTCGAGAATGATGCCCACGGCCCTCTCACCCTCCTTGACGACGCGCCCCGCACTCTCGCACGCCGCCAAGAAGCCCTCCAGCTGGGCGTAGAGGCCCTCGAACATGCTGCGGCGGGCTGTGTCATCAGGGCCGAGCCCCCTATTGTCCGCCTTCCACTGCCACAGGGAGGCCACGCCGGTCTCCGGGGCCTCCTCCCCCGCCTTGCCCGCCGGCAGCTGCTTGATGGCTCGGCGCGTGGCCAGGGCGAAGGGCATGAATGCGACGGGCCGGGTGCGCTGCCCGGGAGGGGGGAGGTGAGGCACGCGGGCAGCGTGAGTGTGGCGTCGGGGTACATGGCCTCCAGGGACTTCTTGACGTCGTCGGGCGTCTTGAGGAGCAGCACATTGACAAGGTCTATGTACACGGCAGAGGGAGGTGCGCCCGAAGGCAGCATGGACGTCGTCACCTTGTCCTTCTGGAGGCGGGGGATGGTGAGGGCGAGGAGGGCCGAATTGAGGAAATAGTAGTCGCTCACTGCATGGTCGGTGCCCAGCAGCCGCAGCTCCTTGACGGCCCTCTTGCGTGCCCGGCCACTGAGGATGTGGATCGCCAGGAGCTTCCGCAGGGCGGTGAGGACGGCACCTACTTGAATGGATCGCTGCAGCAGCCTGGTCCTCAGGGAGCGCAGGTTGCACGTCCTGAGCAGAGTCGTGATGGACTGCCAGCCCGTGCCTGAAGGCATCCATGAGGGAGCAAGCAGCACACCAAGCACACCACACCACACCAGGAAAAGGAAACGCAATGCAGTCAGTGTGGGTGTGCTGTGCTGTGCTGTGCTGCTTGTGACTGATGGATTCGTGGCTGGGTGAGGACGGTGTGTGCTGGTTACCAAGGTGCTCCATGATGACGATATGGACTCGCTGCTCGCTGCTGCCGGTGCGGACCAGGGTGCCTTGAAGAGCTTCATCGCAGAAGGGCCTCACAAATGGCGTCCACGCCTCGCTGCCGCCGCCACGCTCAAGGCCACCCTTCTCCGCTTTGTCGAGGTGCTCGGCCTCCAGCTTGGCCTCGAGCTCTCTACTGAAAGGGAAGACCTTGAACACCACGGGACTGATGTCGGCATCGAGCAGCCATGCCGATCCCATGGCTCCCTCCGCGAGAAACTTGACCCTGTACGGCTCAGTGATGTCATCGATGAAGAGCCGTGCCGTGTGGGGCTGTGCCGCACTGCTGCTGCCGGATGCGACAGAGGCGCTCATCTGCAGCTCATCTGCAGTTCATCTGCCGAGGTAGAGGCGAACCATCCTTCAGCCTGAACCGACAGGCACGACCAAATCAACAAATGCGTCATTGCCTATTGGTTCTCCCCCTTTGACTCACCTTGTGTGTCGGCCTTCAGTCCATCGTGGATGAGTGCATGGATGAGCCTATCCTTCCTCCCTCTTCCTCGGCGAGCTTCTGAGCGAGCTTCCGCGACAGAACGCCGGGAAAGATCCGCTTCTGCTTTCCGGGAGGGGTCCCGGAGGTCCGGATATCAGCTGAGATCTGCGCCCATGACTCGCCAACTCGACGACGACGGCCACCCTCGGCCCTTTGCATACCCAGGATACGAGGTCGCCGTGAAGGACATGACTTGGATGCCCAAGTACACCTTGAAGCTCGATTTGCCGGCGGCGTCAAGCACTCCTCTGTGCGGGCTCGTGCGGATGCAGACGGCATGCGACTGCCCGAAGCGTGACGTGGCGGTGTGGCTGGGGATGAACCACGTCCCCAACGAACCCATCGAGAGAGGCGTCACGCTGATCGGCACGGACGGGGAGGTCGAGCCCTGGGACTGGTGCTGGATGGGTGGCCGGCTGTGGGTGCTGGTGCCGGAAGGCTTCTTCGGTCAGGGCTGTCGCGAGGGCACGGGCCGTCTTCAGATGATGATCCGAGTCTTCCTACCGCAGGACGACAAAAGGTGAGGCGGGGCGACACGACACGGAAAGAAGGAAAGGAAAGCAAGACACCAGACAGACCCCTCTCTCTCACTGTTGTGCTGTCTGTGTGTGTATGTCATATGTACGTCTGCATCTGTGTGCAGACTGAGGCGCATGTGCCGGGGCGGTGGCATCATCGAGTTCCAGGTCGACACCACGGGCAGCGACCCCAACAAGTATCCGCCGTGTGTGAGCACCGACCTGCCCATCGAGAAGATCAGCTGCATTCAGTTCGTCGTCCCGAACGCCACCAAGATCACCTGCCGCCCCGACCCGATCGGCTGCGCCGACTACATCAACGACCTACCCATCCCGAGGGAGGTCAGCGGCGAGCGCCCGACGATCCACACCAGCTGGTCCCTGTCGCCGACGCCCGAGTGGCCCGACAGCTTCACGCTCACGGCCTTCTGCCACTCGAGGGACTGCCCCTGCACGATCCGCAACGTGCAGGTCAAGCACGCCGTCCATACGCCCAGCGAGACGGCGGTGACGACTGTCGACATGATCGTCCGCCCCAACTGCCGGACCAGCTGGACGATGGAGGACACCAACAACCAGGGGGAGGAGGTGGAGCTGCCCGTCAACACACACCTCCCCTTCCACAAGTGGGATTCCGTGTGCGTGCCGGGCTGGGACGACGGTGTTCCCCCTTGGACGGTCATACCCTGGCCCACGGACTTCTCCGGCGACTCGACACGGCTGGCAGTGGCAGAGCGCCAGCACAGCCTCTACAATTCCACCGTGCACTCCCTCTTTCTCTCCGTGCTGGACGTGGGCGACGCGGACATCGGCAAGTCTGAGCAGACCCGCCAGCAGAGCGACTGCATCGACATGCAGCAGCTCAACACCAACCCCGATGCTGAGTTCGGTCTGACCGTCATCTGCGGCGGAGTCCCCATGGCCAAGATTGGGTGAGCAAGGGGGGGAAGGCGATGGCACACGAACGCACACACACCCGCACGAACATGAATGGGTGCATCTGTTTGTGTGTGCGCGCTGCAGGTTCGAGGGAGGCGAGTTCAGCTCGAAGATCGTCTTCAACCCCTGCGCCGCCCTGTGTCCCTTTCAGCACTCGGCGACGCACTTGGCCAACGAGCTGAGCTGGATCAAGGCCGAGAAGGTGACGTACGACTTCAGTGGCGTGACGTCGATCGTCGTCACCAAGGACAACAACGAGACCGAGACCATTCCGGCCGACAGCACGACCTTTGAAGGCCAGCTGGTCGTACAACTTCGACTTCACCACGTACTTCACCGACGCCGGCAGCCTCGCCGACCCCACCAAGGCCACCATCCGCTGGGTCACCGCCGAGCTCGGCGACCCGTCCGCTCCCGGACTGCCCCGGAAGAGCATACTGGAGCCGGAGGGCCCGGTGGGGGGCCGACCCAAGGCCGCTGCTGCCCAGGCGTCCGCTGCTGCCGAGGCGTCCGCTACTGCCGACGAGTCCGCTACTGCCCAGGCGTCCGCTACTGCCCAGGCGTCCGCTATTGCCGACGAGTCCGCTACTGCCCAGGCGTCCGCTATTGCCCAGGCGTCCGCTGCTGCCGACGAGTCCGCTGCTGCCGACGAGTCCGCTATTGCCGACGAGTCCGCTACTGCCCAGGCGTCCGCTATTGCCGACGAGTCCGCTACTGCCCAGGCGTCCGCTGCTGCCCAGGCGTCCGCTGCTGCCGACGAGTCCGCTGCTGCCGACGAGTCCGCTGCTGACGAGGAGTCCGCTGCTGACGACGAGTCCGCTATTGCCGACGAGTCCGCTACTGCCCAGGCGTCCGCTATTGCCGACGAGTCCGCTACTGCCCAGGCGTCCGCTGCTGCCCAGGCGTCCGCTGCTGCCGACGAGTCCGCTGCTGCCGACGAGTCCGCTGCTGACGAGGAGTCCGCTGCTGCCGACGAGTCCGCTGCTGACGAGGAGTCCGCTGCTGCCGAGGCGCCCGTCGGCCTCTGACCGACCCACACCACACCACACAACACACAACACACCAGATACACATACACATACACACACACATACACATACGCGCCCCACCTGTGGTCAAGGGATGGGCCGCCACCCAGGCAGGCAGGCAGACAGACAGACAAACGTGGCAAGTCAGTCCCGCCCTGCCGTTTTTCCCTCACTTATATGATACGTCCCTCAGTCTCTCTCTCTCTCCCCTTCTCCCGCCGTTTTGTCGTGTTGGCGGCGTGTTCACGGCACGTGTGTGGTGTGTGTTGTCAAGCGACCGACGGACAGGTCGGCTCAAAGACAGAGGGACAGACGACAGAGGGAGGGAGGGAGGTGGCCATTCAATTGCACTCCCTCACTGCGGTCGGTCGGCCGACCACATGCAATGCCTTTGTTTGTTTGTTTGTACGTCCGTCCGTAGCTACGGTGTTTGTTCGTTCGTTCGTATTGATTGATTGATGGCGTGTAGGTACGTAGGTACGTACGTGTGTTGATGTATGTATGCGGGTGAAGGTGCTTTCTTTCGTGCGTCCATCGGCTCATTACCGACCCACACACCCGTGGGAAAGGGATGGGCCGGCGGAGCGGTGATGCGTGTGTGTGCTGCCTGACATGACTGCGTGTGTCGGCTGCGGGTGGCATCGATCGGCTGACCTTCTTGCTGGGTGACTCACTGACTGCGCGAGGAAGGTTCTGCCTCGGCGGCTCGCGCGTTTTGTAGGCTTAGTGACAGACAGACAGACAGACAGACAGGCAGGCGTGGCACGTTTGTCTCCGCCCTGCCGTTTTTCCCTCACTTGTGTGGTAGGTCCTTCGCGCCCTCTCTCTTTCTCACACTCTCTCTCTCTCTCTCTCTCCCGCCGTTTTCTGTCGTGTTGGCGGCGTGGCTGATTTGATGCTGCCACAAAGCTTTTATGTGGTGTGGGAGAGCGCTGCCGTGGGATCATGACAGAGTGGCCGATGTGCTGCAGTGGTCGCCCTCTTTGTCCGTCTTGTCATCTCGATGGCTGGCTGGCTGCCTGGCAGGCCTCATGTGTCTGAGGTGTTACACACACGCATGTGCCCCCGCACCATGTCAGCCACCAGACAGACAGACAGGCAGGGGGGGTGGCGCTGTGGCGCTGTGGCCCTTGCAGACGGCTCCTCGCCCATATTATTTGTACGATCGATGACAGATAGGTCGTCTTGATTGATTGATCATGATGGCCTGTAGGTATGTGTGTATGTCAAGGTACCTCGGCTGTCTGTCCTGTGGTACCTGCATGGCCGGCCGTCGTGTGGTGCTGCACAGACACACGGCGGCACACAGAGCGAGGCCGATCTCTCTCTCTCCCTCCCTGTTCATGTGTGTGTGTGTTGTGGATCGGCCAAGTGGGTTTAATCTCTCTCTCTCTCTCTCTCCCGCCCCTTTCCATGCACACATACACACATACAGACATGCAGACAGACAGACAAACAGACAGACAGACAGACGAGGTCAGTCTCCGCCCTGCCGTTTTATGCTCCTCTTGTACGATAGGTCCTTTGCTCTCCCTCTCTCTCTGTCTCTCTTCGGCCCACTTTTTGCGACGGATGCCTGGCTGGCAGGTGTACGTGTGTGGTGTGTGTGTTTGCAAGCGACAGACAGGTCGGCAGACACACAGACAGACAGACAGACAGACAGAGGGAGGGAGGGAGGGAGCAATTCAATTGCACTCACTGCGGTCGGCCGACCACACATAAGTAAGGTGTCAGTTTGTATTGATGGATTGATTGATGGCGTGTAGGTACGTGGGTACGTAGGTTTTTGTGTCTGCGTGTAAGTAAAGGTACCTCGACTGGCTGGCTGTCCTCTCTCCGTCTCCATCGTCTCCTGGCTGAGTCAGTGGCTGATTGGGTGCATGGGGTGGTCATGATCGCATTCATCGATCGCATTCCATCCCATCCCACTCCATTGCATACCGTACACAGTAAGCACTGACTGGTCTGTAGGTGCTGCATGTCATGGGGGCGGGAGGGGGGGGGGCTGCAGGGGGCTCGTGCGGTGCGTCACACCCAACCATACACACACACACACACACACACGGGGAGGGGCCTGCATGTGTGTCCGCCGTGTTGGGGGGGTGACCTGGTGACAACTTGAGAGAACCTGACTGGCTGGCTGGATTACTGGTACTTGGCTGCTGAGAGATTCACTTGCGCACTGCATCAGAGAGAAACACACAACACGCGGACCACACGCGGCCCTTTTTGTTCTAATGGCAGCCAGACACGATGGACGCAACTCATTTCACCGCAGACAGGCATTTGGACAAATATGCACACACACACACACAGACACACACAGACAGACAGACAGACAGGTGAGCCGTTTCTGTCAGCATCTGCCGTGCCGTGCCGTGCCGGAGGAGCGCATGCAAGTTTTTCCCGTTGGGGCGGTGCGAGCGCCAAGGTCAGGGGGCGATTTTCCCCAGGCTGCGTGATGTCGATCGATGGGTCGATCTGTCTGATGTGGTACCTGCATGGCCGGCCGTCGTGTGGTGCTGCACAAACACATGGCGGCACACAGAGAGAGGCCGACCTCTCTCTCTCTCTCCCTCCCTGTTTATGTGGGTGTCTGTCCGTGTGTCTGCTGTGGATCGGCGCGTTGCACGCTGTGGGTTTAATATCTCTCTCTCTCCCGCCCCTTTTCATGCACACAGACAAACAGACAGACAGACAGACGAGGTCAGTCTCCGCCCTGCCGTTTTTTGCTCCTCTTGTACGATAGGTCCTTCGCTCTCTCGCTCCCTCTCTCTCTCTCTCTCTCTCCCTCTCTCTCTCTCGCGCGCGCTGTTTTGTCGTGTTGGCGGCGTGACTGATCTGATGCAGCCACAAAGCTCCTGTGTGGTGTGGTGTGTGGGAGGGCTGTGGGGAATGGCAATGGATGCGTGTATGTGCTGACTGACTGACTGCGGCCGGCTGGGTGGGTGGGTGGGTGAATGGCATCGATCAACACGGACAGACAGACTGGTGGGCCGTTTTTGTCATGGTGTGTCGGGGACGGTGTGCTGTGGACGTGCCGTCACGATGGGGCGGTGCCAGCGGCAAGGGCAGGGGGCGATTTTCTGTAAGGTGTGTGGGCGTATGGTGGGTCTGACTTCCTGGTGGCTGGTGCATCCGTGAGCCCTCAGTCAGTGAACGTATCTCTCTCTGTGTCTGTCTGTGTGTGTCCTTGACGTGATACAACACAGGCATGCCTCCCCTTTTGCCTCCCCTTTTTCTGTTGTGTGCGGATGGCCTCTCATGGCCGGCCGTCGTGTGGTGGTGCACAAACACACGGCGGCACATAGACAGGCCCACGTCTCTCTCTCTCTCTCTCTCTCTCCCTCTCTCCGTGTATGTGTGTGTGGTGGACCGGTGTATTGGACAGTGTCGTCTCATTATCGTACGTGCGCATGTCTGTCTGCGTGTGATGGGCACATGATGTGGAGCGGCCAAATGGCTTTTATTAATGTCTCTCTTCCGCACCTTCATGACACATACAGACATACACACAGCCAGGCAGACAGACAGGCAGGCACGTCCACGCCCTGCCTGCCGTTTTTCCTCCTTTGTACGATGGCTCTCTCTCTCTCATTCCCTCCCCTCGTTTGTTCCCTCACAGACAAGCCGGCCGTTTTGGATTCTTTGGCCCGTCCAGAGTGCTGTGTGGGATCCCATCTTTGTCCGCCTTGTCATGTCGATGAATGGCTGGCTGGCGTTATGTGTCTGCCGGCCGGCCGTCTCAGCCGACAAGCAGACAGGCAGCGGGTGTGGCGCGGCTGTGGCTTACTGGCAGGAAGGCAGTGTGGCCCCGACAGACCGGTCTGTGCGGTGGGCCGGTGATATTTGTACGTACGATGATCCACAGGATGGCTTGATTGATTGATGTGTCGTGTGTGTTGGATGTACATGGAAACTATCTGCCTTGTCTGTCGTCCTACACTGCACGTGCCAGTGTATTTCTCATCGGGGCGGGATGGGTCGGTGGGTGGGTGGGATGGTGCAATAGGCTTACATGTTGCTGTGTCGTTCACCTCTCTCTCCCCCCTCTCCCAGCCGCTGTTTTGATGTATTGCGGTTGGTGGCGTGACTCATGAGAAAGAGCACCATGTGCGCACGATTGGCTTCGCTTCGCTTCTCTTGCCGTGCCATGCCTTGCCTGGTCTGGTCTTGTCTTGTCTGGTCTTGCGGTCGACATGTGACGTTCTCTCCTCCCCTTGTTTCTATAATCTGCTGGCTGATTGGCGTGGTTGCATTCATCACATTCCATCCCACTCCATCCCACTTCATTGTCATGGGGGCGGTGCTGCCATAGCCTGTGCGTGCAGACGGATGACGAAGGGTTTTAGTCAAGTGGACAGACAGGTCGACGCAAAATGTGATGAATACCTGCTGGCTTGAACGAACCGTCCATCATGATCACGTGACGTGACATATGCCGGTCGATCAACTCCTTCATCCAAACTTTCAGTCCATGAACAGACACGCATCATGAACAAGTCGTGTCGTACCCATCACATGCGATCGATGTCTGTCTGTCTGTCTTGCTGTGCTCAGCGGATGGCCCACAGCTCAATGTCATCCGCCGCCTTCGTCTCGATGTCGGCCAAGTACCAGTCGGCAAAGTACCAGCGTGGGTACAAGTACCAGTCGGCAAAGTCCCAGCGTGGGTAGGTCTCGGAGCCCACCCTGAGCATCATGTCCCCGCCTCGCTGACAAGACACACACACACACAGAAGATACACTCACAAGATGCACACCACGTGACTGACTGGCACACCTACCTCCAACGAAACGAATCCACGTCCCGACCCGTCTGAGGTCATGGCCACGCAGAGCTTGACGGTCTTGGACGTCACGGGCAGCTGCGTCGAGGGGTTGTTGGTCTTGATGTGCATCATCACGGCGTGGACCGTCGCAGACGTCAGGGTGTGTGTGGGCGGCACGTCGGGTGGTTTGAGGGTGGTCGGCGAGCTGTCCAAGATCGTCACGTGGCTGTGCGGCTCGTCGCGGTCGCAGTGGTGGATCATGAGACACAGTGGGCCGGAGGGGAGCTCGTGGCGTATGGCGTGCGAGAGTGAGTGGCACAGGTCACTCAGTGTGTTGCCCGACTCACTCGCCCTGCGTTAAAACACACACAGATGAGCACGTGCCCCTCTTATGTATGGCTGCACATTTCCCTCCCCTTCGACTCACTCACTTGTGCAGCTTGAGTACTCGATTGTGTGGCAGGTACATGGCCCTGCACTTGTCCAGCACCACATTCAGGGCAGCAGCAGACACTATTGCAGTATCGATGTGCGTCTGCTGGTGAAGGGCCCCCTTGCGGACTTGCGGCCACTGCTTGGAGAGGGTTGGGAGGGCTGACAACTCGCGAGGGGTCACGAAGCTGAAGACACACGACAGGTGGTCGTCGCCAGGATCACGAGGGGCCTGAGTCAGGGAGAGCAGCCAGCATGAGAGTGAGCCGCGCCACGAGTGTGGCTGTGTGTGTGTGTGTGTGTGTGTACCATTGTGTTATCCTCCTGATCAGCAGAGTTCTTGTGAGTGAGACGGAAGCCGCCATGCGCCTGGGCGTACACACACCACACGCACATCCGATGAGTGAGTGGACGTGTGGACGTCGCGTATACCTGTTGGCCATGCGGTGATGTCTTTGTCTTGCTATGCGGCACCAGCACTTTGAACTCCTCTCGGTGTCCGCCCACCTCCCTCAAGTGAAGCGCCGTCCGTCCACTGCCCTCCTCGATGCGATACACGTCGGCCTTGACCCACCTCTGTTTGCCCTTCTCCCGCTCGCTGGTTACCATCAGCACACGACTGCCCTGTTTGTAACGGCCCGGCGTCGGGGATGGAATTGCCTGACGAACCGAACAATCAAACAAACGAACGAATGAGTCAGTGATGCTCTGACACATTGATGAGTGCGATTTTGTTGTGCTTTGACTGACCTCGTTGTAAGGCAAAGCAGACGACGAAGATGAAGCCGCCGCTGCTGCCATGGCGCCACTCAACCACGGCTGACGAGAAGGGCACAGAGGTGTGTGTGTGTGCATCTCTCTCGGCATCTGTGTGCTGCCTACCGGCGAGATGTGCCGAAAAGAATCCAATGAGCCGAGGCTTACTATCGAGGAGGCCGACCTCCCCAGGGCACCCACGCCGAGAGGGAGTAAGCTCGCGAATCGCGGGGTGTTTTTTTAATTCATGGCCGTAGCCAATTAATCACTGTAAAGGGGACCACATCGACGTCAGCGACGATGATACACAAGAAACAAGCAGCTGCAGACAGCGGACCGATAGTCACGGAATTCGACGCGCTGGCACAGTCGACCCATGCGTCGCATGGCATCAGACAGTTCATTGCCTGCCATGGGTTCATTCTGTAGGACATTCATCCATTGAGTCACTGACTGTCAGGATCGACGGCCAAAAATGGTGCATGCGCTCTCCGAGCATTGTGAGCGACCTCCGGTGCCTTCAGCCACAACACCTCCGTCAGCTGTGAGCCCATGAGGAAGGAAGACACATGAGTGAGTCAGGGCACACCCACAAGGCACACACAACCTGGTCGGACACACCGCCCGCCCGACCGCCTTAGGCGGCCCTCATCTCGTCTCGTCTCGCTGCATCTCCTCTCCATCCCGGCTCTCTACACTAGCTTCGCTGATTTCGGCTGTCTTCACGCCGGTCGGTGTGGGCAACAAGGCAGTCGAAAGTGATCCTCTGGTGTGAGGCGACACACAGGAGCATTGCAACACACACAGCACATTCACCAGTGATTGCGTTGCATATCGTTCCCCCCCTCCCAACTCACGTCGAATTTATTGGGGTCCATGAGGCCAATGCAGCGCTTCACCTGTTGGTCAGACACGGCAGGGAGGTGCTTGGATAGCTGCACGCAAGCAAAGACACAGAAGCTGCCAGCTGCTTCTCGCAAACCATGTTCCACACACATGCATACCACATACCAGCAAGGCAGCGTCGCGGCGGTTGATCATGCCGTCGTTGTCCCAATCCACCTTCCGAAACAGCGCAGACAAAGGCTGCAGACGCCTGCAATGGACACACAGAGATCAGCCGACCGTCCCTTCCCTCTCTAGTGGGCACCTCTCTCGATCATGAAGCTGAAATGCCAGCAGCACCGACAGCACCCTCTCGTAAGACAGCAGCAGACCGCAGAAGCCATCTCCGCCACCCCCACTCTCACACGTGTCTCCGCCCTCACCCCCATTCTCTCCTTTCCTGCCTTCGGACTCCTCTCCTTTGTCGCCGGCCACATCAGGCGTCGACTGCACGGAATGTGCCCGATCGACTAGCAGTGCTGACGGACGACCGAAATGCCGGGCCGATGCGACAGAGCTGGTCAATGCACCTCTTGTGCGGGGGGCTTCGCTCGCGTCTGCTGTCGAGGCCAAGGAGATGCGGGCACGGCTCATCCGCCGGCCCCCGGTCGGGCTGCTTTCAGGCTTCTTGGTATCGTCTGTAAGGGTGATGCTGAATGTCTCTTGCCCCTGGACGGTGGGTGGGCCTGCCCTTGTAGCCGGCTCCTGTTGACCAGCTGGGGCAGGGGTTGACGGAGCCGTGCGGCCGAAAGAAAGAGCCTGTGGGGACGGGAAGGTCACCACAGACATATCAGGACGGCTTTTCTGGTCAATCGATCACCCACCTGGTTTGGATGCACCCGTGCTGGCAGGGGTATGGCTGGATCGAGCAAAGTGTCAACATCCATGTGCCACCAAGAGGGAGGGATATCCCCACCAACATCCTCATTCGCGGGGACGGGCAAGGACTCCCGATTGGCAGCGTTGAGGAAGCCTTGGGTGATGTTCTTGACCTGTTCGTCTGAATAAATGTGGCCGAGGATGGGAAGGACTTCGGCACCAGTAAGGAGCCGCTGCACCGATGGCACAAACACCAGGGATGGACGGCAATGAAGGCCCCGCTCAACGAGCTCACCTTGCCGCTGCGATATTCTTTCATAAGCGAAGCGATCTTAAGACACACACAGTGCGCGGCCGCATCGCTTGTGGTGGACACACGGCGTCTCCCTCACCTGTGTCTCGTCCTTGAGCGGATGCAGAACTGACGAGCAACCGAGAAGATCAAATGAAAGAGGCCATGACCGTTTCTCATGGTGTCTTCCGTTGGCTCGCTTACGCCTCAGCAACTCTTCGAGCAGGGACCCAAACGTCGCCTTGAGCTCCTCATGGATATTCCTGCAGTTCAGGACACACAGGCCAGACAGCGATACATCAACACAGCATGATAATCGATCTCCACCGGAATGCCTCATCGACACGGCAGCCGAGGACCTTGCCGAACAGCAACACGTCCGCATCAACACGACTGTATTCATCAACCCCCTGCGCTAGAAAGAAGCAGACACACCTCATCAACGATACAACGGCCATCTCTCTCTCTCTCTCTCTCTGCTGGGCGGACCTGTAATATGGCCGTGGCGTACTCGACGACTACCGATCTCAGCCCAAATCGATGCAGCAGGAAGACATACCTGCCACACACACACACACACACACACAGTGTCACACCAAGAGGAACACAAGACCAGTGGTGTCTCCATCCGATGTGACGGTACATGTATTGCTGCAGCGTGCTTATCGGCGTCCTTTGCTCTCTACCATGCCGGTCATTGATGGTCTTTGATGACCAGATGGCCTCCAGCAGCTTTTTCAGTTGTGGGAGACGGACCCGTCTCATCTTCACCGTCAAAGAACGCCTTTCCACAGTTCGCCCCGGCACACCACTGCCGCAGCTCGATGGCATGCGGGGGAGCAGACCCATCCCAGGGGTCTGCGTCTGCCGCCGCCCGTTGATGGGTCCGTCCGTGGTCTGCTCTCTCTTTCGCTGCAGCTTGGCAACTGCCATAGCACGACTGCAAAGGCGGACGCACGCACGTACGCACGGCGGAGGGAAAGAATCTGATGCGTCTGTCGTCCAACCCGCTTCTCCCGCTGTATCAACGGTTTCAACGGAAAGCTCGCACAAGAGATTTTGGCAAAGATCTTCGCTGCTCTCCGTTCGGAAGGGTTCAGCAGACGTGTTGGCGCATGTGTAGATCATGAGCTCCCTGAAGCAGATGAGCAGCACCATCCCGGGAGGCACGCCCAGTAAGACGGCTGCCTCACACACAGCGGCGCAGGACAAGGGCGAGCGGGCGGCAGAGGCCTTCTCACAGCGTGTTTTGACGTCCTCCTTCTGGGCGGATTATTGGGAGAAGAAGCCGCTGCACATTGCCAAGGCGCTGCTGATGAATGAGCCTGACGACGCGACCTTTATCGACTTTGCAGGGTGGCTGTCTGTGGTGAGAAAAGGGCAGGGAGCAAGGAGGAAAGTAGATCGCGGTGAATGGCGTTGTTTTCCGTGTCTGTGTGTGTCTGTGTGTGTCTGTGTGTCTGTGTGTGTGTGTTGCAGGATGATGTTTTGGCGGCAACAGCACTGGCAGTCATCGGGCTACCACATGCACTCAAAATATACAAGGTCAGCGACCACACATCGAAACTCACTCACCGCTTCCCTCACTCTTTTCTCTCTCTTGTCGGTTGGATGTCTGTCAGGAGGGGCTGCCGTTTCGCCTCAATGGCGTGCTGTCGCTGACCAACACCCTCCCCCTCTACCACGCATACCTGGACGGTGCGTCCTTCATCATCAACCAGGCCGACCGGCTGTCGCGGCCATTGCAGGCGCTCTGCCGGGCGCTGGCCAGGCAGCACTTCATCCACTGCTTCGGGGTGCTGTACCTCACGCCGCCGCGGTCGTATGCCGTGCGGCCGCACAGCGACGACCAGGATGTGTTCCTCCTGCAGATCTGGGGCACCAAGGTGGGCTGGGTGGCTGGATGGATGGATGGATGGATGGATGGATGGGAGCATGTGGGACTCTTGTTTGCGGTTGTTGAATGGATGTGTGTGGTTCAGAAGTGGCGTGTGTATGCTCCCCCCAGCCCGCCTGGCGCCCTGCCGTATAGCGATGAGATGATCGGCAAAGAGAGGGAATACAATGCGGTGAGAGGAATGCATCCCCACGTAGATAAGGCACAGCACCGCCCATCGCCCATACGTTTTATCGTCTCGCTTTGTCGCGTCAGGAGCTGGGTGAGCCGGTGATGGAGGCCACCCTCCATGCCGGCGATATCCTCTATCTGCCAAGGGGGTAGGCACACCACTGATGAATGACATCACGACTCACACGCCCGTGGCCGTGCTCATGTCTATGTGGCAATGCTGCGTTCGTTGTTCTTCTGTGTCGGTCCAGTCACGTGCACGAGGCCCACACGGCCGGGGAGGCGTCCCTGCACGTCACAATCACTGTACAGACTAGTGACTACGGATGGGTATGTATGACAACAAAGAGGCCACTCTCACCCCGCAAGCCCACTGTCTGCGTGGCGTGGGTGTCTTGTGTCTGCAGGGTCCATGGGTTGAGCGTCGTGTACAGGAGATCCTCCGCAAGGAGCTGCCGGAGAGTCTATCGCACGCTGCCAGACGAGCTCGCCTCGTACCAAAACCCACCAGCGAAGAGGTGAGACCAATTGACGATCACAGAAGAACCATCCGGTCTCCATGCTGGGTGCGTGTACAGGGCGGCATGATGAGTACGGTTGCAGACGAGGGCACTCGGGAGGCGTTTGATGACCTGCTCACACAGATCGTTGTAAGTGCACACGCCTGTCAGTGCGTACAGACCAGGGGGAGGGCTGAAAAGCAAAAGTGGATGGGTGCGATGCCCTGTGTGGGTGTACAGGCCAAGATCGATCTGAACAGCGCGCAGAGGTCCTTCCTGGACCACTTAGAGGAAATGAATCGCATACAGGAGGAGCAATACACCCGACTCATGAAGCAAGGTACCCACAGACGCACACACAGACATGCAGCGGCCCTCCCCTTCATCCATTTTTTCCTTCCTGTGTTGTGTCGTGATACACGCAGCTGACAAGCTCCGTTTGGATCGCGAGATATCGACTGACAGCGTTGTACAGCTGTCGCCCGACATCATCAGCGAGTGCACCGTCGGCTCGGATATCGCCAGATTCCGGAGGGGACAGGACGTGTGAGCAGCACCGGCACCGTGGACGAGGCAGATTGGCCACCTGCGTTTCCGTGTTGTGGGTGTGAATGTGTGTGCAGGTTGCAGCTGAAGATCTGTGCATCAGCGTCGCGGCTCATCAATCAACTGGCCGACCACAAACCACACGTGGTACCCGCAAATGCAACCACAGCGCCGATGGGAAGCGGATGAATGTACTCTCTCTCTGTGCGTGTGGTTGGTCAGGTGAAGGATCTGCCGTGTGGGGATGCGTTCGAGCGCGTGTGCGTGTGCCGGGTGCTGCTGGCCAAGGAGGTCCTGCAGCTGTGCAGAAGCATACTCAAGTAGACGAGCCTTCGCCGCGTGTGTGTGCAATTCATATGTGTACGCAGTGCATGCTGCCATGATCGAGTGAGCGGGTGACTTAGTCGATGCGTACAGACATACAGGGGGCCGATCATAGCGCTTGTGGCACACCATAATACCATGCCGTGCCACGCGTGCCATGCATTTAGCGAGACACACACGTATAGCTATAGTGGTGCTGATGCGGTCGGGCGGACACACATGCAGTGCAGTGCGTACCGTACACACACGTGCATACACTCGCTCATGGCATGGCATGGCCTGTATATTTATGTGCCAACGAGGCGGCGTACACTCATGTATCGCAGTGTGTGTGTGTATGTGTGGACATAGAGAACGACAAGTAAGGTCAGTCACGTCGAGCACATGGACTCATCAACTTCGCAAAGTGAGGGAGGCTCAAACGAGACAGGCGAAGACGCACTTGGCTGTGGACGAGCAAGACAGAGGGCAGAAGAGCGCCAGCACAGAAACACTGCAGTCCCCCAAGAGCAAAGGCGCGCACCGGAAACCACCCATTCTGAGTTAGTCGTCGAGTTGTGTGAGCAGGGCCACTCCTCGTTTAGTCCAGTACTTCTCAGAGTGCTCAGGCGCTATCGGCAGCCGGATCGTCATGACGTAATTGGTGGAATGACCTGAACAACAAGACAGCGAGTGTCTCCTTACTTGCCCGTGTCTGTCTCCGTTGCCACCCACCAGTTGTGGAGAGCGTGCCGGCCCTCCTGGAAGTCTTGTAGACGGGGCATGGGTACACATTAGCGGTCTTGTCCTGGTCGTTGGCATCGATGGGTTTGAGCCACACCATGGGCATATCGCTGAACAGCATCTTGGGCGACGACTCGCCAACCACCTTCTTGTCGTCATCCCACTGGGCCCCATCCATGAACAAACCATACACATAGCAACCCGCCTCAGGCTTCTCCTTCAACACATCCTGCCACATACACGCGCACAGACACACACACACGCAAGCGAGACATGGTGGAACGGGAAAGGTGGAGTGTGTATATGTCCCTACCTTGGTCTGACTTCTGTCCAATATGGTGTAGTCATAAATGAGCTGGTCGATGGGCACGCCTGCGGCGCGGGCGTAGTTCTGCAGAGTGCCGGTGAGGAACGACTGCGTGAAGAAGAATCCCGATATCCAATAATTCGGTGGCGGGCCCTCGTCAATCCACTTCTGCATGAAGTCCAGACGGGCGAGGAAGTCCCGCACCCACGAGCCGAGAGGCTTCAGAGACGGGTATGCAACCTGCACAGAAACGAAGCCCTTGTCCACCAAAGCCAATATGCTCACCCGTGCACCCAGCATTGGCTCACCTTGCTCCATGAGGCGGGCACACGATTGTCAAAAAGCCCCGAGCCCACCTCTTCCAGCTCAGGTGTGGACACCACTAGGCCCTTGACGGCCGCCTGCACGTCCACGAGGCTCCGGCGGACGACGTTGAGGAGTTTGTTGAAGCGCATGAGCTCCTGCACCAGGACGGTGTTCATGCTCTCGTCGTAGCGCACGGGGTACTTGCGGGCCACGGCCTCCACATCGAAGAGCTTCGGCAGCTTGGCCACAATGTCTGCGGCCGTGGCACTGAAGACCTCCTCCGGTGACTTGCCCGCTCCCGCACCTGTCTTGGGCTGCAGCGACATGGCCGTGCGGATCACATTCATCGCCTGAAGATGGACATATGTGTCAAAGAAAGCGATGAAGCTGCGCTGTTTCTCTGTTACGGTTGTGTCTATTTGTACCTCTGAGATGGCGACGGCGAGGTTGGCATTGGCGTGCAGCCCAAAGCACTCCGGGAATTCGTTGAGGGGAAGCGACCGGACAAACTCGAGGTATCCCTCGTGTGTGGTCGTTGATGCGGGGGCGTAATAGATGCCGCTGGGGCTGAACCGGTAATCGTCCTCCAGAACGTCGGGCGCATAGAAGTCCGACAGGATGAAGTTGATGGTCCGCCTATCCCATGCGTCCGTCACACGCCCGCCGTAGTTGGCCTCAGCGGCCATGTAGTTGAGGGCCTTGTAGGGAATCTCGGCGAACTCGTTGAGGAACATCTTGAGCTGAGAGACACATATCTGCCGATCCGACTCGGTGAACTCATAGGGGATGTTCCAGCCGAGGGGACCGAACTTGCGCCGCTCGAGGATCGACGCGTGGAAGAAACAGAGGCCGAAAAGGAGCTTCTTCCAGGCGTGCACACGGGTGTGATCCTCCTGCAAACAAGCGTAATAGAGACATGTGTGTGCATGTGGTGTTTCTCTCCCTCCTCTTGTGAGTACCAGGAACTCTGCATTGAATGAGTAGTATGAACGTAAAAGGTTCTGTCTCAGCCCTTTGGGCGGCTCGTTGGTCATCTTGACGCCATTCTGCACACAACATTGGACGAAAAGAAGGCTGTCGATGGATAAATCTTCATTTATTCGGCCTCTCTTCTGACCTGCAGGATTGACACGGGAAAGTGGGGCGAGGGCATTGCGGTCAGCCACAGCCTAAACGAGTCCTCCATCGTGTCAGGGGTGAACTCTTCTATCAGCTTTTCCAGCGTCGGCAGCCAGCTCACGGCCAGATGGCAGTTCTGCAGCACCACCCAGCCTCCCTGCTCCCTTCCAGTCCTGATGGCCGTCTCAGCCTTGGGGCCCTGCCCCTGCCCCAGACTGATCGCGGCCACTTTGTGCTCCATCCCCTTGGCGCTCGCCAGCTTCATCAGCTCAGCCATCGGATCGGCGCCAGCACTCAAGACAAAGACGAGAGGCGACGTGCATCGAGAGGCAGAGTATGAGGCGTCAAGGTCGAAGGTCGGGGGCTCGAGGAAGTAGCGGCCCAGCTTGGCCTCGATGAACTCCTGGATGCAGCCCACAACGGTGTCAGGGCGGACGGCCAGCATGACCAGACATTTCTCGAGCGGCGTAAGGCTCTCCTTGTATCCGCCGGGCCAGTGGACAGACTCATCCCGGGGATTCTCACAGTCGAAGACGGCCTTCCATGAGGCTATTTTGCTCTCGAACTTCTCGGCAAACTTGTCGAATGACCCGCCAAGCCGCTCAATCTCCAGCAGACGGCCCCAGGCTACGTCGGTGAGCCACGGCTCCGCAGGTCTGGGCCGTGATGGCTCGCCGCCTCCCCCGCCGCCGAGTAGGAAGAGCCGCAGCTGTTCGTGGTTGAGCTCATTGTCGACAGTCATCATCTTGATGGCCAGCAGGAATGAGAACAGCAGCTTGTCCTTCTCGAAGAGAGACCTGACCAGCCACAGAGATGTGCATGGCAGCCACCTTTGTGACATAGCTGTTACCTGCAAACGTTGTTGAACAGCAGCTCCAGGAACTTGGTGATGAGGGCCGTGAGGCGCTTCTGCAGCTTCTGATCCACACCCTTCTCAAACTTCTCGGCTTTCTGAGACGTGAAAGAATAGCATAAGATGGCTGGTGCATACTGGCTTGTCTGGTTGTTTACGTCGATGCCGGAGTTGAAAACGTCGATGAACCACTCGAGTGAGTACTGGTACATGGGGTCCACGTTGCCCATGTCAGATATCACAAAGAACAGCTGGGCCGCTCGTAATGCCACTGGACGGTAGGACTGCCGTGTCTCGTTGATCAGAGCCTGTGTCTTCTCCTGCTCGACGACTCTCTCCTCGATCCTCTGTGACGCCACCTTCGAGTTGCTCAGCGTCTCTATCAGCTCCTCATCGTCCAATATGTTGCCCTGCACACACACGGAGACGTCTTTCCGGGCCAGTGCCCTGTATCAAACCAACCTTAGCGGCACTGAGTAGTTCCAGGATTTTGTCCTCCAGCTGCTTGAGTTGGGCCTTAGACTGGGCACTCTCCACCACCAGATTCTGTCGCTTCCTCTCTGTGTCTGGCTCCTCACGCGCCACAAGAATACCCAACATTTGATCCTGCACTCAAAGCAACATGTCTCTACACTCGTGTGTGGCCTTATTTATATATGTCCAGGCTGTCACCTCAAGGCCCTCTGGCGTGACAAGGAAATTCAGCAGCGTGACCTTGACGCACAGCTCAGGCGGGTAGTGGGGGTTTGGCAGCTTGGTGGTGATGTACAACTTGAACTCGCGGGAATACTCAACGGTCGAGTCGCCAAGCCGGATCATCTCGATGTTGCCGGCCTTGAAGATGGCCTTCTCGAGCAGGGGCTCGAGGAGGGGATCCAGCGACTCGCCGACGTTCTCAATCAGCACTGGCGTGCCAAACTGGATGCACGTCTCCAGGGTGCGGGCATAGTCTGACTGGGAGAGGCGCAGCACCTGAACAGCAGCGAATCAATTAGACCATCTGCGTTTCAGTCCGTCTCGTCTCACCTTGAGTTTTTCTTCCTGTGTCTTGACCCATTTGTTGGCCTGCAGCTGAGGGTCAATCATGAGAGGCCACCGGCGGCTCTTGGACAGGATGATGCCGTTGTCGATGGACAGGCTGTCGTTGGGCAACTTGTTGATGACCCACTGCCGGATCTGCACCGGATCGCCAACCACGCCCTGCAACGTGATCTCCTCGCCGGATGGGATCTTCTCGTGGTTGAGCAGAGAAAGCCACTGATTGACACATTGCTGTCGGTAGGTGGCCGTGAACACACCGAGGTAGGCAATGATGCCGGAGGCGATCAGCACATCACCAGTCAGACTCGCAAGCTCGGCCTGGGTGAGAAAGCAATTAGTAGTGGGGGTGTTGTGAGGTAGTTGGTGTCATGCCCAGTCTCACCCCCAGACGTTCTGATGACTCTGTCCATCTCTTCCTCTCACCGCCCAGCCCGCTGATGAGCTTGTCTGCTCTCACGAGCCGTTTACTGCAGTCGTCCACCTGTTTGGCCAGGTCCTCTTTCTTCTTCTTGGCCTTGTCGAAGTCGCTGAGCAGCGTCGCCACCAAATCCTGCACCTGCTTCAGTTCCGCCTTCTTGGACTGCACAAGACATGTACAAACGGCATCTATGTGCGGTCTCCAGAGGGCATTCCCGTTAGGGTGCTTACGGCCAGATCTTTTGTCGCTGTGTCAAGCTCGGCCTCAGCTTCCGCGAGAGCTTTCTTTTTGGGCTCCACGACCTTTGCCACTTGGTCGTAGATAACCATGGCTCGCACCCACTTGCACAGGCCCGTGGCTGCCACTGATGCCTTTTTGATGACCTCAGGATCGAAGTCGGGATTGATCTCGTAGGGCTTGATCTTCTCCATGATGGCGGGAGCGATGTTGTCCTTGTCGTACTCGAAGAGACGCTGCAGGAACTTGGCGTCTCCGAGAAGACTCTTCTTGGCCGGCTCCCAGTAGTCGTCCTTCTTGCCCTTGCCATCTGCTGTGGGGACCTTCTTGGGCGCGATGCCGAACATGATGCACAGGGCCTCCATCACCAGCACCACACCGGGGGGAGGCGACTTCATCGACTTCACCTCGGTGATATCACCCTTGGACAGCTTCTTCAGCGCATCCAGAGCGGCCTCCAATGCAGGCATGGCTTCACCGACACACATACACAAAGGAAACGTGAGACTCAGCTCTGAATGAGTTGCTCTCCCTCTGACCTTTGTCGAGCTCAGTTTGGCACTGTTCCTTGACAGCCGATGCGTCAGCAGCCTGTTTGCTGCAGATGGCTTCCTCCTTCTCGACGTTCGCCTGCGTGACGGCGGCCTCCTTCTGCTTCTGCTCGATGTGCACCATCAGGTTGGCTGTCTCCTGGGACGTCTGCTTGAGCTTTGGCTGCAGCTCCTCCAGCTCCTGCTGCATCACCGCCACCTGGTCGGCCGTCGTCAGCAGCTTCTCCAGACCCACATCGTAGCGGCTCTTGAGCGTGCCCACGTCGTTCCTTCTGCTCTTCAGGAGGCTCTTGAAGGCATTGATCAGCTCCAGGTAAGACGTCGGTGTCACATAATAGTATCGCCGCGCCTCCTGCTTGTACCTGTGAAGGAAGAGAAGAAGAAGCAGATCTGAATGCACAGCGTCGTCCCTTATCTGTTACCTCTCTGTGAGCTGTGTGACTGACGTCTGCATGGCCACGCACACATTGGATACGCCTTGGGTGACGTCGGCGCTCAGATTCTCGCCAGCCAAGAAGTGATTGGCCACAGACCTGACACAATGCGGAACAGTCAAGCATGGACATTAAATTTCACATACATGTCTCGCTACCTCAAGGCCTCCTCGGGCCACTCCATGAACCAGTCGATCGTGCAGCAGTTGACCAGGGAAGGGAACATGCGCAGCCGGCGTCTGAAGGCCTCTCCAATAGGCGACAGACACACGACAATGTGGAGGTTCTTGCGGCACTGCTCGACGAAGAATGCCATGATCTCTGCCGGTCCGTTTCTGCCAGCTGCCTGTGCAGGCTTGCTGCACATGTCGAGAATTGTCATCTTGTCCTCTGCGCCGAACAAGTTGGGCACTTCGCCTGTGTTGAGGAGACCGCTCGTGTCCTCGAGGAAAGTCTCCTTGGCCAGCTGCGTGTCGGATATCATGAAGACGACCTCCTTCATCAGCCCGCCAGCCTTCATCAGCAGCCTCTTCAGATCCTCACGCCAATCGGCCACGCCGTAAGACTTGCTGGACGAAGAATGGAAGAAAGACAAAGACAGTGCGTACGATCATTGGTCTGCTTTCTCACCTGATTTCGATTTGGAAGAGCTCATAGTCGACCATGAAAGTCGCCAGCGTGGTCAGTGACTTGCGCCCCGATCCACCCACCCCCACCAGCAGAGCATTGCCCAGCGGCTGTCGAAGGATGCGCACAATCCGTGCCACGTGCTCGATGGCTGACATGAAGAGCACGAGGTTCATCTGCTTCTTGCTGTTCATGGAGTTGTAGTCAGCCAGTAGGCTCCTCATGACCTCCTGCAGCGAGCTTTGGTCGGACATCTCCTGGTAGTGGTTCTTCTTGGGATCGGAGAAGTCACCGAACAGGAGGGGCTCGACGGTGACGAGAGAGCTCCACTTGCGCTTGAAGTTGGTCTCCATAATCTGCTTGAGCTGCTCCTTAAACCAGTTGTGGTCAGCCTTGTCGATGAGGCGATCCTCAAAGACACGCACGCACTCGTGTGCCCAGCACTTGACCACATCGTCTGTGCCTTGGAGTGACTCCTTCCGAAGGAGACAGAGCCCCTGGATGACTCGACTCATGTCACGAAGGTTGAACGTGTAGTGGCTCTTGGCTGGCGTCGGCAGCAGGCTGGAACTCACAAGCCGATATGTGTCAATCGTGCCTGCGACATAAGGACAGAGGCACATCTTCCCACTGGTGTGTGTGGTGGTTCTCTGGCAGCATGCGTACTCTTGACGATGCTCTGTGTGACGGATGTGATCGAGTTGGGGAATCCGACCTTGTCGAAATACCAAGTGAGGATGGTGCTAAAGACGCGGACAAGTGACTCTTCCTCGAAGGGCGTGAGGAAGATGAGGTTGTAATGCCGGCTGTAGCGGGCGGTGATGTTGTTCCGGCCACCTCCGGGCGGTCCCATGGCCGCAATGAACGTCAGATCCACGAGCTCACGGAACTCTGACGTCTTGCGGTCATACCAACCTGAGACACATGGAGTTAGGCAGTCGACGATAAGTCAATATACGTGTGGTTGTGTGTCGGACCTCTGGTGTCCATCCACTGTCTGAGGATCTCAATGGGTGGCTGGGCGCCGTACTTCTCCTTCTCAGGCAGATTGAGGTCATCCACAAATATCAAACACCTGCAGGGAGCACAGCAGCCATCTCTCACTGCCTATGTCTGTTACGTCGCCTGTGCTGCACCCTCTTACTTCTTCCCGAGGGGTGGACCAAACGTGCCCTTCTTTCTCTTGTCCAGCTTGCCGTCGATAATGTCCTGTGTCTGGTTGGCACTCGTCTGCGCTGAGAAGCTGAAGGCGATCGACGTGAACGACTCCTTGTCAAAGCCAGTGAGCAGCTGAGACTGGACTGAGACCGTCTTGCCGGTGCCCGTGACGCCCGAGAAGAGCACATGAAACTGCCGCGCTACAAGGGCCTGGAGAAAGTAGGCGTTGCTGACGGTGTCGCCAGTTGGCACGATGATCGTGTGGGGCTGGGCGTCCTGCATGAATTGCATCAAGGGTTGACAGACAGACACCGACACTCGTTTTTTCGGCTTGTGCTGTATGTACTTTTGGTATATCGAATGTGCCGATGCGTGCCGTCCATGGTGTCCACTTGCCGCTGCTCTCGTGTATGAAGTAGTCGTAGAGCAGACCTTTGTCGGGTAGGCCGCCCTTCCCCTGTCGAGGCTCGTAGGTCCCAATCAGGTCATACTCCTGCACCGAAGAGAAGAGGGTGCTGATGACACGTGGATATCTCTCCCCACCCGACCTTTGCCAGATCGGGCAGTCCGTTGATGAATCCCCTGAGGAATCCATCGAAGACCACCCGCCCCTCTTGATCCGTGCAGGCGCCAATGCTCCACACGATCGCAAAGTAGAACAAGGCCTCGATCCGCGCCTCTCGCTCCTTTGGAGGAAGGGCTGCCTGATGGAAGAGAAAGGGATACATAGAGACATCAGACATAGCATACCGGGAAACGTTCAATCGGTTACCTTCTTGTCCTTGGTCAGAATGTCGTCTCCCTCCTTCATCTCGCCCAGGTGCAGGTGCAGCAGCGCCTCAAACATGCGGAGATTGGAGAGCATCAGCCTGAATAAAATTGCCAGAGACATGCGTGCTTCGCATTATGTCTCCTTGTCTTCCGCTCACCAGTTTTCGGACACGGGAACGGGGTTCTTGACCTTCTTGGTGACGATTTGGAAAGCGAAATCCATGAGCCGCTCGTACATGTCCAGGATCATCTGTCCGTGAGCCTCTTGGATGATTTGAGGCAGAGCACCGACCCATGACTGCGCCAGCGGACGCCACCCCAATGTCTGCTCGGGCTCTAGCAGAACCATCCCACACCTGCATCAACAAGGCATGCATATGCATACTGCTCTGTTGAAGATGCTTTCGGCCACTGACCGTGATACGGTGGCTGGCGACGCAGCGGCGAGGTCTTCTACCTCAAACATCATGGTCGTCACTGGCGAGAGCTTGATGATCTCGCCGCTGTTCAGACATAGTTTCTTGTTGTCGTCCAAGACAGTGTTCATGTTCTCAATCCACACCTGAACACGGAGAGGCCCATAAGAAGCAGAAGGGGCGAGAGGAATCGCTTTGCCGTGGTAACTCACCGCATCCACAGGCCCGTCCAACACGATCCACTGCCGCTTGCTGGGCTCCGCTCCGGCAGCATAGCGGACAGTCAGTGCCAACACCTTTGAAAGAAGCAGAACACAATCTCATGTCCATAATCCTCCTGGATAGCTGTGGTTACCCCGTCAGCCCATTCGTGTGTGTTTTCGTCGAACTCGCCGTACAGCTGGCCCTGCGTGATGCTCTTAGGGTTGATCTTGTGGATCTCACACGGCAGAAAGACGTCACTCTGCCCGTCAGCTATCGCCCCAAGCGACTGCATATACAAGAGGCACGCTATGCCAGCAGTCGCTGTGTGTCGCTCAATTATTACCGTTGCGAGGCAGTCCATGACGGCCGATTTGCCGCTGATGGTCTTGCCCACGAGCATAAGCCCGTGTCGCACCATCACTGTCTCCCAAAGCTGGATGCACTTGTTGATGAAGGCCTCCTTCGGCTGCAAGCCCTTTGACCTCGCAGCTTCCTCCATCTGTGGCACGAGTTTGCCGTAGTCGGAGGGCGGCAGCTCGACGCCGGGGAAAAGGTCGGAGATGATACCCATAAACAGTGGAATGTCATTGGCTGTGAACTTGGGCACATTGACATCGCTCAACGCCCTCAGCGCCAACACATCCTGCACGCGACAACGCAATGGAATTGGAAGGAAGTTGTTGCATCTGTCTGGCGGGTTCACCTCTGCGAGGACGTGTCCGAGCTTGCGTTTGAGCTGTCCAGCGGCCGTAAGGATGGCCTTTAGCGCCCTCATACCGAAATCATAATGGTCCTGTGACGACAACTGCTCAGACGACAGCCGTAGACTGCCCACTGCCTGGCGACCGCAAGAGAGACACAAGGTATATCGGCAGGCTATCCACCGATGTCGCTTTGTGTACCTTCCTGGCGATGTTGCGTGCATCCTCGAAGCCAAACGAGTATAGGACGATCTCGGCAATGAGAGAGTAGTCGGGCACCATCATTGCACAGGGACGGAACAGCGCCTTGAGGTTGTCGGGCAGCTCCGATCGGCCGGCGTATCCCGGGTTCATGGTGATATTGACGGCACATGTCGGCACGAGCTTGATCTCCGTACCTAGTAAAACAGGCGGATGTGACGTCGACGGCGTCCCTTGCATGGTGTCTCACCTTCGAAAAGGAAGACGTTGAGCCGATTGCGGATGGCGTTCTGAATGGACTGCACTTGCTGGGCAATCACAGACAGTACCTCCAGGTCTATACGATTGAACTCATCGAAGCAGCACCAAGCACCTGATTGACAAACACACGAAGCGACGTCTGCAGAAACAAAGCACCTACATCGTCTTTCGTGCCTGACCCGATGAGGCGAGTCCTTTGAAGAACTTGGCCATGGCGAGGTAGTCCAAGCCATCAGAGCAGTTGAACACGACACACTGCACAGACACCGCCTTGGCCAGATCCTTGGTCGATTCCGTCTTGCCCGTCCCCGCAGGCCCCTCAGGCGCCCCGCCATAGAACAGATGAAAGGCTCCCAGCAGAGTGCGGTAGCAGCGGTCGGTCAATGGCGTGATGACCAGTCGATCAGAGTTGCCCAGGTACTCGAATCCGTACAGAAGCGTCGCATTGACCATGGAGACGTGACACTCAGCCTTTGGGTTTGGCTTGCCGTCGCGCATGGTGAAGGTGCCGGGTGGCTTCCAGTAGTATCTCAGCTGCGCCAGCCAGTCGAACTCATCGGCGCTCTTCACATTCTGGTCCATCAACGCCTGGATGGTGTCACGCGCGTGCACATCGATCGTGACCATCGCACCGAGGGTCCTGCGATTCAGCTTGGTCAAATCGCCACGGACTAGACGCACGATCTGACCACACACACACAGCATGGGTGAATGATCGTGTGTCACTCCCTCCGTGTGTGCACTGTCCATTCTACGTCTTGAAGTTCCTTGTCGAGCTTCTCTTTGTGTTGTGGCAGCTGCTTGTTCTGGATGGCCTCCTCAGTCTCTGACGTCCAGTAGAGCTGATCGACGCACAGGACGATCTGGCCAGGCCACTCCAAACACCACTCTGTGCGACCCTTCGTCACGTAAGCCTGTACATGCCGACGAAGGAAAAGAAGAGGAGACATTTTGACACGGAGACAGGATATGAGACCGTCTCACCGAGAAGGACTCCTTCATGACCTCCCGGAGGCAGTTTTGCATGGACTCCTCCACCTCGACCAGCCACTTCTCGACGTTGCCCTTCTTCTCTCCGTGGTTGACGTCCACGTGTTTCTTGAGCGGCACCACCTCGCCCTCGGCACTGACCATGGCCTGGATGATGGAGTTGGTTGGGTCGAATTTGACCTTGTTGATGCCTTCGAAGCACTTGTTCATGTGCGGCTGCACAGCCGTGGGGTCCTTGGTCTGGGACAGGATCATCAGCAGCTCGTCATTCGACAGGAAGAAGAAGCGAGGGAACGCCAAACTGAGACACAAAAGCCAGTGAGCCATGGCGTGGACCAGGGATCGGATTTTATTACCGTTTGGTCTCGAGGTAGTCGTTGAGGCCCTTCTGGATCTCATCCAGCTTCTTGTTGGCGTCGCTGAAGTTCTGAAGAAACACACACATACATGGAAGAGGGAAGCCAACTTGCTGGAAGAAGGGGGGCTCTTGTCACCTGCAGGAGATTGTCGATCTCGGATATCTCCAAGACATTCGGCGTCTCGTGCACCTGCGAGACCGCACCAGACGATTGACCACGACCACTACAAAGAGATGATTTGATGTGTACCTGCGCCATTGTTGTTCTCCACAGCTGGTCGACCTGCTGGAAGCGGCGGGACTCGACAGGCATCTGAAACACACAGACACGCATTCATGAGCTGCTGCTAGCCATCCGTGCGCTTCCCTTGTCAGTCACCTGTCGGATGATGTCTTCGGAGCTGAAAATTGGCTCGAGATAGAGCCATGACCGCTGGGTGGCCAACCACTCCTCCATCAGATCCTGCAAATACGAAAGAAGACAAACGCAAGATACATGCAACCTACGTGGATGTGTCAGCGCGTCCACGTCACCTGTATGTAGATGAGTTTGGCCTCCCATTCGCGGCATTCCTTCTCGATTGGCTTGATGAACGGCGATCCACGGATGGCCTGCGTCTTGACAATGTGGTCATCCAGGAGGGTCTGCACGTCATCCACCCCCTTGAGCAGGTATGTGCCGCTCTCTTTGTATGGCAAGGCCTGATAGGATCGAGAAAGGCAAGTAAATACAAAATGCCATGACAGCCGGTCGAAAGCCAGTGTGACCTCGAGCTCCATTGGCTTCCATTCCGCCTTCATTGTCGCCAGAGTCTTCTTCAGTCCAAACTCCTTCTGGGCTACGGCGCTGATCTCCTCGACCTTCTCGATGTGCTTCTGGATGCCTGACAAGCGACACAAGGCAAAGCAGTCGGTACAGACGAGGCATGATCCTTCTGTGTTGCTGACCAATCTCATTGAGCTGTTGGAGGGTCAGCTGATCCTCAAGGTCCACATCAGCATCGAGGTTCTCAAAGAGCTCTACCCTACACATTGACCAAGTACCACTGTACACAGTCTCGGAGTCCGAGGAGGTCGCTGTCTGTGTCGGGCTGACCAGTGTCTCGGCTGCATGGCTTCTTGACAGAGGGCACGGATGACGGGCAAGTTGCCTTTGAACGCGTCAATGGCGGCACGGACCTCCTCGGCCACACCCTTTGGCACAGGCTCTGTGTCAAACTCCTTCGCAAGCTTGTAAGCATCCTTGTACCTGGCAACACAAAGCAGTCGTCATAGGTCTCCGATGCAGCAGCGTGTGTGCGACTTTTGTGCTAACCATGTGTCGACGCTGGTCTCGATTTCTGTGGCATCAAGCTTCATGAGCGCCCCGTTGAGCCAGTCGTCCTCCGAGTATTTGAAGTCGATCGCCATCGTCCACAACTGAACACACGGCAACGAAACGTCTGTCAGACTCACGCTGATGTGTAAATGCGCCTGCCTTGTTGTAGGGAAGGAAGAGCTCAACCATCTCATCCAGATTGGAGAAGTCTGCAGGGTGGAGGCAAGGGATACATCAATCAGAGGATTGCATCTGCCCATTGGTCTCATCCCATACCGGAGACCTCGACGCCGAAGAGCTTCTCGCGTTCTTGGAAGGAAACCACACGCTCCTTTGCCCGATCGAGAGCCTCTTTGAGGCCATTGATCTTGACTGCGTATTTGAGTGCCTGTGAGAAGTCGCCCATCTCGTAGCGGACGAAGTCGAGGTCTTTGCTGTACTGCGCGAGATCCTTCTCGAACGCCTCCTTCTCCTCCTCGAGACGCTCCATGAACTGCACGGATCCATGGCAGCAGCAAACAGGGCAGACACATGAGACAAATAGTATGCACACCGTTTTGTATGTACCTTTTCTTTCTCCTGGTCGAGATTCCGTGTGGTATCCTGGACATCCATCTGGACCTGCAGCGGCCAGCTGTATGCCTTGAAGGCTGACTGACCCAACAACGGCACAGACAAGACCACATCAAGGATTTCCTCCAAAGCGTCCTCTTTCTCACGTACCTCGATGACCTCTTCAGGCACTTGGTATCGGAACTCGCTGACCATCTGGATCTGTCTGTGGAGGTAGTCAGTCTGGTTGATAAGCGGGCCCATGACGTTGTGGATGTTGGCCATGAAGTCCTTGAGCTTCGCAAGGTCGTCTTCGTTGGAGGGCGTCGTGAGGATCCTCACGTGCACCTCGTGCCACTTTTCAAGCACCTCCTGGCTGCCCTTGGTGATGTGCTCCACCACCTTCTCCAGATAGTACTCGACGAGCTGCTGTGCTTTGGTCACCAGGCTGTGCACAATGCCGTCGGTGTGGACCTCGAAGAGCGGGTAGCGCATGACGGATGCCGAGAGGAACTCCACCTCCTCTGCCGCCTTGACGAGTGCCGCCACTCGCTCCTGCATGACCTCTACGTCGTTGGTATCGAGCTCCGGGTCCGGCCTCTCGCCCAGTAGATACTCGTACCTCTTGTACTCCTCAAGCAACGCCTGCAGCGAGATAGTGTGAGGTCGCGTTGAGCTCCTGTGTCGCATCACACATGTGTGCCTCCTACGATTGGTTCTTCGAGGCACTGGTCGAGCACTTCGGTGACTCTCTTCTGTGCGTCGAGGAGGGGAGGGAAGGTCATGGTGATGGGGTACATTTGTGTCTCTGGTATGTTGCAGAAGGGCACCAACTCGTACTCTGACACACATACAAGGCAGCCAAGCATGCCGCGTGTGGCTGCCCTCTGCTTTTGTGTTGTGTCTCACCTACCCACGGTTCTGATGGCGTTGCAGCACTCCACAATGCCATTCATGGCCTCCAAGATAGACTTGACGAGCCTGGAAACACAAGCACGGATACTGTGTATGTCAGGGAGTTTGTTTCTCCTCCGGGTCACGTCTTTGCATCAGGGTCGAGTCTGACTGCATTGTACTTATCCATAATATGGAGCACCAGCAACGGCGTGGGCGCAACCTGACATGCAAACCAGGGAGAAATGCTGTCCTGAGGCATGACACCCAGCTCCGCTATGTGCTCCATACCACATCTGGATTGGGGAGGAAGGACTCAAGGAATCGTGTCCACTCGTCGATGGAGTCTTGGACGAAGAACCGCATCTGTTGGTTGAGAATGAGGTCCTGCTTCCTGAGGAAGCGGTGCAGGTCAGACCGGGTGTACTTGGCGTCCTGGTCTACAAAGAAGTTGAACTCCTCCGACAACTTGTCTATCACCTGTGGGTGAAGGAGACAAGATGGGAAGGAAGTCAGCAGTCGGGTGATCGCACTGTGTCATGCCGCCTGTATGTGTTTGCATACCTCTGACACGATGAATTCTCTCCAGTGCCTGTCGAGTGCGAGCGTCACTTCCTGTCTGTGCACCCTCAGATGCTCCAGAAAATCAGCCGGGCGGAACGACTGAACGAACACGGATGTGTGTGATGCTGCCCACTGCTCTTCATATCGTGACTCGCCTACAGCAGTTGGTCCGGCTGTGGGTGAGTGCATGTGTGTCATGATGCCAGGAATGTAGGTCTCGTTCAGGCCTCGGTTGGTGTCCAGAATGCGCAGCTTGCACACCTCCTCAAACCGACGCCACACATCCATACTCACCTACACACATGGATGCATTCACGCAATTGAATCACCATCTCTCAGGTCTGCCCATGCTTTTGCTCACAGGTCTTAGTCTAGGCCTGGAGAAGTTGAAGTTTTGGCTGAGTTTCTCTTTGGCAGTGGTGTAGAGTGGCTCTGGCGGCGGCACCTCCGCCAGGGCAAAGAGGGGGACGGGAGGGGGGAGGAAGGGGCCAAGCAAGGACGCATACTCGTTCGACTGCAATGTCTCCTCAGCTACACTGACACCAGACCACAGACACAGGCACAAGCGCCGCCTCTGTACTCTGACTTCCCAGCTCTGACTTCCCAGTGTGGTTCTGTCATGCCGCGCATACTAGGCCTCTGAAGTGCCGTTGAGCTCGATCAGCTGGTCCTTGATCGTCGCAAACTTCATCGAGATGACATAGTTCTGCTCGATCTCTATCAGCAAATGTCTTATCTCTGCCACATAATCTTGCGGACGCTGACACACACTCCAAGAGGCAGTCCTTTCTGAGTCTTTGCCTGTGGGATAGGTGGCAGTGTCTCTGTCTCACGTCGATGTGCGCCTTATTGAGGCAGTGCCGAATAAACAGCTCTTTTGTCGATCTGAGCATGGGGCTTATTCTGTCCGTGTCGATGCTCTCAATGGAGCGGATGAACTTCTGCTGCAGCTCTACATGATCCTTCTTGCGATAACACGACTTGACACGGTCGCCAAAACGGCTGCAAACACCCACCTTTAGTGACATGGGCTTGTCCATGTGTGTCTCTTGCTTGTGTGCCTACTCTGGATCTTCCGAATGGAATCGCAGCGCGAGTCTTCTCACAAACTTCCGAACTCTTGTCTTGTCAGCAAGCTCCACTTGGAAGCGCTTCAGCTTCTCATTGTACCCCAGCACATAGCATGGCACCATCGACAGCTGCACGTACACAGACATAAAAATGAGTGCCCGACAAATGAGCGAGCAAACTTCAGCATCCATCTCACGTACGTTGTTCCCGCGATAGTGCAGCACGTGCGCGTCTGGCGCCGCACACGCAGCCTCTGGTGACGGCCCCACAGCCCCCTCCTCGAAAGAGATGCCCACATCGGTGTGGCGCTGCTGGCATTGGGACACCCACTCGTCGGGCGGCAGGTCCTCAAAGGCGTCTGGGTCGTCGAAGAGCTCCAGAGGCAGGCCGTCACCCATCGCGCCCTTGTGGGGCACCTTCTGCCCTTCATCGACTTGGGTGTCTTCAGGGGTCACTTTTGGCTCTGGGGGTCGAGGCTTCTTGAGTGTGCCCTCGGAAGCACTCTTGCTCATCTCCAAAAGGGTCGTAGTGCCTCTCGTTGCCGCGGCACCGAATGAAGAGTGGTCCACCAGTTTTCTTGCTGGTGAGATCTCCGTCTTGGGCCCAATGTGCTGGTCTTTCTTGGAGATGTCGTCTAGCCACGAGCTGAGAACCTCCCTGCTCTCAGGCGCTCCCAGGTCGGTGAACTTGCCTTTCCTCCCCGCCCCTCTGCCCCTTCCCCTCGACCCATCGATTGGCTCCAGGGCTGATAGAGAGGACGATGGGCCGAGCGAAGGGCTGGGAGGGGCGAGGCGGCGCACTGCTGGTTTGGATGGAGGAGCCCCGCCACCGCCTCCCGGGCCGCCCGTGAAGGGAGGCGGCAGGATCGCTGGAAGTGCTGTGACTGTGGATGGCTCCTCGCTGCCGATCTCCTGGGACTCGTCACTGTACCGCGACTTCTCATACTTGGAGAGGGTGAGGAGGATTGCCTTGGAAGACGTCTTGGTGGCGCACAGCGTCCGCGAGAGATCTCCGAGCGCCGCTATCTCCTCAGAGAAGTCCGCTCGTCTCAAGACAGGGAACTTGACCTTCAGCTTTGGCCCCACTGCACACGCAAATGATACAGCCAGGGCACAGCAGGGACAGATGTGAGAGAACTGGCGCCAGCTGCGGGTGTGCTGCTGAGCCTGGCCACAGCGAGGTTCGCTCTCGCCTTCTTTTTACCTTTTGGCGGGCGCTCGAGCGACATGATTCACTGCTATGAAGCTTGTCTGCCTTTGTTTGCCTCTGCCGGCCTTTACAAGGCCGGAATTCGCCCTGAGGTCTTCTGTTGGCTGAAATAAGCTCGCTGGCCCCCTTGGGGCCCCCAGTCTCTCCTTCCGCGGGGTTCTTGCAGTGAAGGTGACGTCTTCGGCAGCGTTGCCGTGCTATGCACAACTGAATACCCCCCAAAACACTCCAAAGCGGCAAAACGGGGTGGATCGATAAAACGTGCGAGCTTAGACGTGCAGAGGCAGGGGGGGATGGCGCGTCAAAGGGCGCTCCCTGTCAACGGCCGCGTTGCCCATCTTCGCTTGTCGCTGCCGTCTGTCGATACCAGGACTGATCTCTCCTTGCCGCCTCCTTGGGTCAGCGAGCAGCACTGTCTGGAGCGGGCTCCCGTGCGCCTTGGTCAACCGGCTCGCTTGTTCTAAGATCTGCGCACCGCCGGCAAGCAGAACAACCAGCCGGGACGATAACCTGCGGCAGCCAATTCACTTACACACTGAGCCTGAAGAGGAGATGTGTTGCGGGACAAAGTCTATCCTGCACTCTCTGCTCGTCTCGTCCTCCCTCATCGCCACTGTCACAGCCCAGGTAGCGCAAGGCAGATCAGACGGATGACCAGAGGACGATTCACGTGCTCACTTGTGGGCTGGTTCACTGTGCAGGGCCCCCCCGATGATGATGCGATGCCTGACTGGGCGGCGAAATATCAGCGGCTGCCCGTGAAAAAGACGCTGAGGCAGCGGGACTTCGACAAGGGCACATACCGCATACGAGAGCCGGGCAGGTACCGACTCGGGGAGGACATTACTTTCAATCCAAGGCCGGTGAGCAGCCGTGCAGGCACCTCGAGAGAGCAGTGCGGGCACGTGAATGTGTGATGTAACACTGATGTTGTGTGCCTGGTAGGACACGGACTTCTGGCCCGAGTTTGGTGATGCCGATTACCCCGTCAGCAAGTTCTATCTGGGTTTTTTCTCGGCCATCACCATCGAGACCAGCGGGGTGTGGCTGGACCTCAACGGACACACCATCAAACAGAGCGATGAACATTACCTCAAACAACGGTGCGCCGGCGAGCAGCAACCAACGTGCAGCTGGCTCTCTGCATCCACTGTTTTTCGTCTGTCAGGTTCTTTTCGTGCATTGAGCTCAACGACGGGCCGTTTGAGCTCAACGGAGGGGTGTCGTCGCTCAATCTGGAGGTCAATGACAAGCTCTACAACGACCCGTCGCTCGAGCATCCCCGGCCGGGCGGCCAGCCCTCACCGCCACTGAAGGAACGCAACTCGGTGCCCAAGGTGGCATCCAAGACGCTCATCTCCAACGGCATCCTCGGCCTGTCGTCGCACGCCGGCATTCACTCAAACGGAGGTGTGGCGGGACAGGCATGCCAGAGCAGATGGGTTAATGAGTCACACACGTGTGCGTGTATTGGCCGGTGCCTTTGTGTTCGGTCAGCGTATGACATTGTGGTATCTAACTTGGAGGTTCGAGACTTCGAGGTCACGGGCATCCAATGTAACGGGGCCAAGCGAGTGGTCATCCAGCACACACAGATTGGACCCAGCTCCAAACGAGTCCCTGTCAGAGGTACACAAACACAGCGCCACCAACACCTCCCAAACGCTTTTGCAGTGGTTTTCTTTTGTTGTACCCATCCATCCATCAGGGTTCTACTCTGCCGCTCGCTTCGTGGACCATTATGTGAATCGTCTCATCCCGATGGGGTTCAGCCGTGAGGGGCCGCAATTCGCCGACCTGCTGAGGGACACCATCTCATACGCAGACAGGCCTGACCAACAAATGGTGATCCAAGACGTCTTCGCACGGCTTAGGGCAGGACTTCATCTCTTCGAGAGGCAACGAACCCCCGTCAGCGATGAAGACGAAAAGCTGCTCAATGGTCAGGACATCGCAGTGACAGAGCGCCTCTATCGACCACAGTACGATCCGTGTGTTATGCATTTCTGTGTTTGCAGAGGCCAAGTACTGGTTCGACAACCCGTCGGGTCTGCCCGACGGCGGGTCCATGTACGGCATCCTCCTGCATCGACTTGGGGGTGCTGTGGATGAGCACGGCCAGCCCAAGGAGAACTACTACGACGGCACGAGCCCCAGAGTGACCAAGGACGTCACTCTGCTGGACGTCAAGATTGTCGGCTTGACCAACAACCCCGTCAACGTGCCATCACTCGTCGGCCAGGATGGCAAGTTCATGCAGGGGCCCACCCGAGATGTGATCGACATCCAGCGTGTGGTGGATGACGACTTTCTGACGCCCTACGGCGAGTACCGGGGCACCTTCCTGGTCGACGCCGTCCTGGCCATGTGGAAGCTGAGCAACAGCTACTTCAAGGCTCGAGTCCTCAACTCGCCCTGCGGCAACACCGACACCAACCGCACCTCGGCCGAGACCGTCTGCGCCTCGCAGGGCAACATCAAGGACACGCACCTGGAGCCAAGGGACCCCGCTATCATCACCAAGAGGTACTTCGGCGGACTGGCGCTGACACAGGAGTTCTTCGACTGGGCGACTACACCTGGAGCCGTCATGGGGGACCTGTTTCAGCCTGGCGAGAAAGAGCACTATCTTGTGTGCGGACAGGTACCTACACACAGACACAATACACACAGACACAATGCACGACGGGACACACATATGGAGAATCCATGATCTCTCGATCTCTCTCTCTCTGTGTGTGTGTGTGTGTGTGCATGTCAGGACGTGATGTTCCACACGCCAAAGGGCCTGATGGGTGTGCGAGCGGACTTTGCGCACGACGTCAAGATGAAGCACGTGTCTATCCAGAACCTGGTCAACGTAGGCGAGCACCAGGAGTGGCTGTGCAGCGAGATGGCCGCCTTCAAACTCGACAACAAGCTCCCAGTCAAGGCAACCAAATTCAGACCACACGAATACCAGGTCAGTGACCACGGAGCAGCGACAACTGCATCATTTTTCTGTCTTTTTCTTTCAGGGAGCTGACGTTCGTGGCATCACCGCCACATCGTCGTGGGGCCTTACCCTCCAGCACGTGACCGTAGAGAACCTGCTGTCACGCCACGGGCCAGTCCACGGCATCTTCATGGACGGCAACGGTGTCCACTCACCGGCCGATGAACTCGGCGCAGGCGCGGACCTGCAGGACATCCTCATCGACCACCTGGAGGCTGGTCCTTCTCAGAAGGCCGTTGCCGTCGCTACGCCAGGCATGAACGCCCAGTTCAGCTCGCCGTCCGTGAGCAGGCAGCAGACTCAGGGCCCCATACTGACCGTCCAGTCCATCGGCACGGGCAGGGGCAGCGGCCATGTGGTCCTCCATTCGATGGTCCGCGGCCGGGTGCGCCAGGGTCTCATGGGCCCCTCCCCCAAAGCCGTCGGCTTCATGCGGATGGTCACGCCCTACCAGAGCGACGAGCAGCTTCGGGCCTTCAGGCGGTCGGCCGTCAAGTGGCTCAGGTCATACTACGGCGTCAAGATCAAGGGTGTCGAGGACACGCCCCTGGAGAGGGCCATTGAACTCGACCGCAGAGGCACCAAGTTCAGCGCCGGCATCCTGGAGCGGGACTCATTCCACCTGGCTACCTACTGCGAGTGGAGCACGGACGCGTCGTTGCCTTCATCTCACTGCGCGGGCCCTCTGCGATCGTCTCCTGTGATCGACGTGTGCCACGGCGTGCATGTGGGCAAGGACGGGCTGACAGTCACCGGCACGTGGGGCGGCGGCGGCGGCAGGTGGCTGCCGCCCGGCACTCTGCTCATCTACGGCATCATGGTGGTGGAGAACCCCACGATGCACCGGCAGGGCGAGCCCAACCTGGTCATTCAGTACCAAACCGAGACGCCACTCTTCTTCCCTGAGGCCAAGGACAGACAAGCGCCGTCCACGCCCGTCGTGTTTGACTACGGGCTGTACAGCTCTGAGTGGGGCCACGGCAGGGGCGTGGGTGTCATGTTCGTGACCCAGCCGGGAGAGTTTGATGGGTCCATGTTATGGCGGTTTTCCCCGTCTGCTGTGCAGCCGGCGATGAGTGTGCGGACGGAGCCAGTGTTCAGCAAGGTGGGGCGGGTGGGGGGGCTGTCATTCAGCAACTACAAGCACGCCATCACCTGGATGCAAGACGGTAAGTGACCAATGGAGGCAACGAGGGACGAACAGCACGGTGACTCATGTATGATTCTTTCTCTGGTCAGGTTTTATGCCGGTCACCCAGGCTAATGCTGGGGTCGCGACCTTCCCCGCCACCACAGCCCACCACTTCGTCCGCGGTGCCGGCATCGAGTTCCTCAAGACACACACAACCATCGTCAGTGACGCCGACATCAGAGGTAAGCGACGCACGACAAGCAGGCCCCTCACCCGGTTCCACCATCTACCTGTCCTCCCTCCCGTGCTGACGCAGCGATGCGTGTGGAGTTCCTCGAGCGCGTCCTCGGTGACCGATTCGGCATACCCATCTCGGAGGACATCCTCGGCACGGCCACGACCCTCCCCCTGACGGCCACCATGTACGTGCCGGGCGGTCGGGTGGAGGCTTACGTGGTCAACAGGGCGGCAGATTTCAGAAGCCTGTCCTTTGTGGTGGGCAGCGGTGCGTCGTCCTTGACGGGGAAGGAGCCGACGATTCACGAGGGCGGGTGGAGGTATGTGGTGGGCAAGGGGGGCTTCAGTGGCCAAGACGTCGGCGACCTGCTGCATGGAGACATGATACTCATGGGTGAGTGAGTGCAGCGACGGACCGACCACACACCAAACACATCTCTGCTGTGTGTGTGGTTGTGCACCTTGTGCAGGGATGTATGTGATCGATCCGCCGGCGGGTTGCTCGTGGGAGCGCGAGGCCTCCTTCCCCTCACCCCTCCTGCCATGCGAGCCGCTGATCATTCCGTTCGAGAGCGATTCGCCCATGAAGCGGACACTGGGTGGGCAGGCGGTTGTCACTCACACTCTGGGGGGGAGAGACGGCCACGCGCAGCTCGGCAGGGGGAGGGCCGAGGGCACGCTGCAGGCTAAGTGGAACGCGGAAAGGCTGGGCTATGACTTGGTGGCCATGGGGCAATTCGTATTCGATTCATGATATATGAGTGGTGTCTGTCGGTCTGTCTGACGTCTATGTACGCGTTCCTCATGTGTAGGGCTGTGGGTGTACATACGTACGGGACGAGAGCTAGCTAGGTAGGTAGGCAGACTGTAGAGAGAGCCTCTTTTTGGTTGGTGTGGCTGTCTGCGGCCGGCTGGTGTTTGGTTCGGTGTGAGTGGGAGTGCTGTTTATATAATATATACATACCTGCTGCTGATCCGTCGCATGGGGGATGGATTACATGTGGTCGAATACCGGACGGGCACATTCCATCCCTGTGTTTGAATGAATGAATGAATGAGTGAATGAGTGAATGCATGCGTGCGTGAGTGTCTGTGCCTTCATGTCTGTCTGTGTGGGTGTGCGTGTGTGTAGTGTAGAGAGATCAGATCAGACAGGCAGGTTTTGGCTTTTCGGCGGTCATCAGTGGTCCTGCAAGTCGCTATTTCATGTTCATGTGTTTAGTTCAGCGAGCAACCATCAGCCGGGTGTTGTTGTCCCATCGACTGGCTATTCATGTATGTGTATGCCATGTGTGTCCGCCCCCAACTCGCACCTGGGGCCATTTCCTTCTGTCTGTCTATGCATCCATCCATCCATCCATCCATCATCTGGGCGGCAGTGTGTGTCAGGGATGCTGGTGCTGGGCACTGGTACGCTGGGATGCGTGCCTGCGATTGGGCCATGTTTCCCCGCGTATCCTTCTCCTGCGCCAGAGCATCGCTGGCACCTGCAGCCCGCTCGGTGCTAACACACACATGGATGACCATTACATTGCACACATGAATGACCATTTTTTCGGTCTATCTCTCTGTCTGTCTGCATGTCTGCGTGTCTGTCTGTCTGTCTGTCCGTCTGTCTGTGTGCGTGTCTGTCGGCTCAAAGGGGCGCTATTTAAACCTCAAGGAAGGCAGGCGGCTGTTCCATGTGTGCGTAACGCTCTCGAATTGACAGCCAGCACTCACTGGTGAGCCGGAGGGGGAGGGTGTGTGTGTGTGTGGTGATAGTCATGTCCTGCCATCGTTTTTCCCCCGTCTGTTCAGTGTGTGTAGGTGTGCGCGTGTTGAGGTAGCTGGCTGTGCCTACCTGGATGTGGCTGGCTTGCAGGCGGCGGACGTATCTGTCTACGTCAACTCGCCCACGACTGACTGACTGACTGTATCGGTCTGTCCATGTGTGTGTGAGGGGGGGCGTCAACACAATTCGGCTGGCAGACAGAGTAAATGTACAGGCAAGCCATCGTTCCTTTCCGTCCATCCACGTTCCATCTATATCGCTTCATGCTCCCTTTTTCAAGAAGTGGCCCATGATTTGGTGTGTGGTGTCCAGGCTTTATTGTATGGCATCTCCCTATCAACACATTATGGATGGATGCATGGATGGATGGATGGCTGTGTGGATGCTGTGTGCATTTAGTAATATTTTTGCTGCGGTGCTGCACGCACCCCCGTGAGTCATGTCTCATGATGGACGGATGGGACAGTACAATCGGAGGGTGCGATTTCAACCAGCCATATAATAGTAGTACGTCAGAACAGACACCACATGGCCACCGAAAGAAAGAAAACGAATCGAGACATCCGCACTTCCATATACCCGCCCGACCATCAGTCCAACAATCACTCACCGTCTGGGCATCCTCTTGCCAGCCATGTGTGGCCTGTCCTGAGACTGCATCAGCCGGGACCGCTCATGCTCTTTCTCCAGCTGCGCCCTCTGCAGAACCCCCTGCGCCCTCGACTCACCTTCACCCACAGACACCTCCTCATAGTACGGGTTGGCACCGTCCAGCTCGTTCAGCAGAGCCGCCAGCTGCTTGTCCTTCCAGTGCTCCTCCTTCACCCTCTGTTTGGCCTTCTTCTCACCGGCTTTCCTCTGCTTCTGCGGTGCCAGCCGGGCACCCTCCTCTGTCGCTCTCAGCGGCACCGGCCCCCGGCCCTCATCGCCCGTCTCCACCCTCAAATGTGAGGGGCCGCCTCTCCGGCCCGGCGGTCTGTCGGGAGGCGGTGGCATGGCCGCAAGCACAGCCTCAGCGTCGTCGCTTTCCCTCTCGCCACCACCAGCACTGTCCTTGGCAAGACCCCTCTCTCCTTTCCCCCCTCCAGCCACACTGCTGGTTGGCGGCCTGCCATTGCTGCTCTTGGACCCTCGAGACACGCGCGATGAGCGGCCACGGCCGGTGAGTGACGCAGAGGAGGGCACCGGAGACTCATTCGATGGCGTGACGAAGTCAGGCCCGTAGGGATCAGGCAGGCCGCCGTCTTCGCCGTCGATCTCCTCTGGGGGCGGGGGGAAGTCACTCTCGGTAGCAGCTGCAGCAGCAGGGGGCGGCGGCTCTGCAGACGAGTCTTGCGCTTCGATAGGGGGGAGGACAGGACAGCTTTTGGAGCCCGGCGAATGCACAGCTGATCCCGGATAGGCATGGGACTGTGATGGAGAGGACTGGGCTTTAGCTCGAGAGGAATGGAAGCCGCGGAAGCGCTTGCTGGCGTCGAGAGGTGGCAGCGTACCACAAGCGCCACTGCCCATCTTTTGTCTCCTGCACGCATAGCTGCAGTTGAATCTATACTTGAGCTGCACCTTGCGCTCCTCCTTGAGCTTCTGCACGGAATAGACCGACTTGCACGTCTCCAACCGGTGCAACAACCTCTGCAAGTAGTCACACAGCAGAAGGCTGCATGACTCATCCACTCTGGCTTGGTTTGTTCACCTGGTTCTCGCCCATGATGCGGAACAGCTCCTTCTGCCGTGCGTGTCTGTTGAGGCTGGGCGGGCACCCCTTGATCCGCTCAGGCAGCTGCGGCACCCTTGTCATGGTTTTGGCGATGCTCTGCAGCATCTTGTAGTTCTGGTAGGCTGCCTCCTTCTTCTTGTTCTGCTGGTAGGGGTAGTCCTTGGGCAGCCCGCGGGAGTAGACGGTGGACAGCGGCACGGCCGTGTCGATTTGGGGCCTGCTCTTGCGGAGTCGGTCGCTGTGGATTCTCCATTGAGTGCTGTGGAAGAGCTCCCCTATGATCGGGTTGCCGTGTGTGCAATCTGTCCGCTTCTGACACTGCATTGTTGGGGAAGACGGGGGGCCTGCGAGCTGGAAAGGGGGGCGCGCATGCGGAGATCAACTTCCATTCACGCGCCCTTTTCGGGCTCTACCCTTCAGTACCCTAATTGCGCCTTCCTGCTGGTCAAGGGAGGGGCTGACGGCACAGAGTGGGGATGAGTCACGGCGTTTCTGGGGACGAAACATTCTCGGTGAGCTCGGCACAGTGACAGACATGGGTGGGAATTGCCTGGTTCTTTCTTTTTGACAACGTACTGTATGCATGTGCTCTCTACGCTCACCAGGAGACCTTCGAGAAGTTCCCTCTCGGTAAGGCGAACACTCACTCGCATTTTGAGGCCTTGTCATTGTACTCTCTCTCTGTGTGTCTTTCTTCCTTGGGACGCACAGGGCTGTCTGCGCGTGACCACGGATATTCCGCCGCCCATCGAAGGTCGTATATGACCTTTTCGTTCCACCACCCCTTGCCCATCACCGTCCAAGAGAAGCTTCGCACAATCCACCCCCATCGCACCTCCTTCGAGCAGGACGACCTGCCCTATTGCATGACTCCCAAGTACATGAACTCCACCAATCGCACCATCCGCGGCACACCCGCTGGGGCGGCCCAGCCACGGCGACTGGACGACCTCTATCATATATCCATCGAGGGGAAAGGGGTGCTGGAGTTCCTTGACGGCACACCGCCGCCCGTCGAGAGACGTGTGACCTCTCCTTCAACCTTGCCAACGACCGTGCCTGCGTCTCCTGATGTGCCGACTGTTGCTTCCCAGCCATCCCCTGCCCCCCCTGCGCCCGTCTCACCCGAACAGGCACAAGAGCCGATGCGCATTACTGTCGATTTCCGTGGGCAGGGGGATGGTGGCGAGGGGCCCTTCCGGCGGGCCGTCCAGTCTGCCTCGTCGGCGACCACGTCTGTGCGGACGGATGATGTCTCTGCAGAGCAGAAGAGGGCCGCTGCGATGGGAAGAATGCACAACTTCCTCCTGTACGCAGACAGACAGGCAGGGAGGAGTCGATGTGCTGTGGGGGTCATGTGTGATGTGTGCAGGAGGAGTCACCTGACTGCGCTCTTCTCTGCCCTGTGCGAGGACGGCTGGATCACAGACGCAGAACGGGACAGGCTGCACAGTGACGCCAGGCAGATAGACAGAGACAGGTAGATAGTGAAACAAATGGGATGGGTGGGATGGTGCATGAACTGATTGTTCCCGTGCCTACGTCAGGTCGTTGCTGTTCACATACATTCGGTACATGGAGACCAACGACATTCAGGAGCTCGTGCAGGCGCTGAAGCGCCACGTGGGGCCGTAGGGAACAAAAGGACAAAGGATTCAGTGCGTGCCTTGAGTGAGTCAAATTTTGAGGTCGTGAATCCCATGTCTCATCCATCTCATCTGCCCAGCACATCACGTCATCATGATGCGAGCAGTCCGTTCTGAGCGCTATGGCCCTCACACACACACACATACATAGGACAAATACACGCACGCTCCCACAAAACTCTGTACACTGTCGCTCTCGCCGCATGAAAGGGACGACAAAATCGACATTGCAACACACAAAGCACCCCTCCCCTCATTCGCCCTAACTATATGCCGGCCATTTCAGGCGACCCCTCTTCAGCCGCCAGGTCCTGCCACGGCTCCAGCGATCGCATGCCCGCCACCCTGCCCCGCCTGCCGTCATGCAGCTGCAGCAGCTCATCGTGTGCATCGCCACTCTCCATGTCGTCCGTCTCCTCGGGCTGTCCCAGGCGTCTCGCGGGGGCGGCCTGGATGCCCCTCCCCGCATCGCCTGACGCGGCCGACGAAGTCTCCTTCCCGCAGTAGGGGAGGTAGCCCCCTGGCACCTTCTTGTCATCAACTATGCGCTGGAAGGCCTCCAGCGAACAGGGATCGCTCGAGCAACCGGGCACCGGCTTTTCTGCCGCATTGTAGAGGACCGACACAGTGAACTCTCCCGATGGCTCCCTCCACAGCTCGAAAGCCAGCAGAGAGGCGAAGGGGGGCTGCTTGCCGTCGTTCAGACCGATAAACCCAAGCAAGTTGCTGATGGTCGAGTCGTGGGCCGAAAGGAGCACGAATCTGGTGTCTTCGTGTAGCTCTGGTGTGCCGAGAAAGGGGCTGGCCGCATCGGATATCTTCATCTTGCCCGTCTGCGCTTTGCTCGACAGTATGTCCACCAAGACAGAGTAGAAAGGGGTGGCGCCGATCTGGGCGATGGTGGGGTGGCCGTTCAAGTGCGAGATTCCGAAGTCCTTGGCCTCAATCGCTGCGCGGTATAAGGCTGAGTCTTCGCTCACAGGGAGCTGCCGGCCATCCGCTTTCTCGCAGGCTAATGTGTCGCCGAGAGCACCCAGACCAAACGCGTCCGGCCGTGTGTCGAAGCGAGTGTGGGCCTCGTTGATCTCCTGCAGCCACTTGGCGTTGGCTGCCTTGGCCTCCTCGTCGTTTAGCAGCTCGTCCATTACCTTGGATAACGGCGGACACGTATTGGGCTGCACACAGAGACAGAGAGAAGCTGGGACGAGCAGACAGAAGTCGCCTTGGTGCCCCCTCACCTCAAAGCCAAGCAGGAGGTGGTCGGAGGACAGACCGAGCGACAGGACAGGTACGGCGGTCTGCATGAATGGGAGGGCCGAGTCGCCGAGATGATCCAAGACAGAGCTCACGTCGAAGGGGCCGTCGTATCGCTCCTCTCCTACTAACATCGGTGGCAGGGCGGCGTGAGACGATGCCTGGTCTTCGTTGAGCTGCCACACACGCTGGGGCGCCGGGAACATCCCCATCATCAGTGCCGAAGCGCTCTGCACCGTCCTCAGCTTAGCAGTGGATCTCACAAACACCTCTTGCCGCGTGTACGATGGACTGAGCAGCTGGTGCTTGTCCACATAGCGATGCCTCAGAGCTGCCCCGAGCAGGAACATCTGCCGCACACCGAGTGGCGTCAGGAATCCTCGACCCATCGGCCACGTCTGTGTGAACCACAGACGGACAACAGGGACAGACAATCGCACTTGTCGGTCACCTGTTCTCTCCGCGTGCACGGCCATTAGCTTACCGCAGCAGTATTCTCATCATTGGCAAAGAAATCTATGGGGGATCGGGCGCCGTGTCGGCACACCGCCACAACAGCTACCAGTTGACGAGCCGCCACACTGTCACCTGGATTGAACAAGCACACCCAAGCAACAGACATAATGAGCCAGACAGGCACATCGCGCTTTTGTGTTCATCGCATACTTACCCACGGCAGATGAGCTGCTGATGGACCTCAGCGTCGCCACGCCGCAGCGGGCAAAGACGAAGACGGCTACGAGGGCAGAGAGCAGGATTGGCAGCAGCCGCTTTGTCTTGAGCATCTCAATGGCGCTCTGATGCTCCCTGCTCCCCTTCCCCTCGCCGAGATCTCGCTTGCGGCTGATTGCAATGATGATGAAAACAAATCCAACTCACTCCAATGCAGATTGATCAACGACGGCGACGACTTGTCATATCATCTCTCCAGTTTGCCCAGTGATTCGCGATCGTGCAAGCTCAGATTTCCATCCGCCCGTCGGCCCGTCGTCCATCCGCCGGGTGGAGCGAGAGTGCTTTGCGTCCCCAGCTCCACCAGCACACGAGATCGTCTCGTGATTTATCTTCTTGTCTGATCGGCATCCCGTCACATGCAGGCGTCATCATCGACGAGCAGCAAGGGCACAGAGGCAGCATGAGTGGCGGCGTGATGCAGATCAATGTCGGCGGCTTTGCCATGACGTTCCCGAGTGGCGTGCTGCTGCGCAAGGGGCTGCGGGGCACGTGTGTGGCGGTGCTGCTCCACCGGTTCGACGAGTGGATGCTCCAGGATGCCGACGGGACTCTGTTCATCGACGCATACCCACTCTACTTCTCCTGGTGGGACGAGGGGAGCATGCAGCCAATGACACTCATTCACTCATTCACTCATTCACTCACTGCTGGCTGTGTGTGTGTGTTGGTTGTCTGCGTGTCAGGTTGGGTGAGAAGCTCTGCCGTTTGAAGCATGGGTGGGTCGACGAGATCAAGATCTTCGACGCGGTGCAGCCCATCCCCTTCTACCACGGCATTTTCTTCGCCGAGTCGCCCATCGCCATCGACAAACCTACTGAGGACAGCGAGAGCCAATCGGCATTCAACAGCTTCATTGCCATGATGGGCATGTTCATCAAGTCGTCGGCCGTCCGGGGCGGCAGGGGAGGGGCGGAGGTGCTCAGTGTGACTGTGGACGGCCGCACAGTGGCGACCACCGATGCCACGCTGGCCGACTTCGACACACTCAACGACCGATTCACCAAGTGAGAAGACAGGCTCTTGTGGGGATGATTGGATGGATGTCTTCATGCCTCCCTTGTGTGTCGCGTGGGCAGGTATGGTCGCACTCCCATTGTCGATGTGTCGGCCCACCACTTCGACCTGCAAGCACCCAGACAACCACCACAGGCAACTTGAAGAGAGCGCATGTTGGTGTTTTCAGGATCGCCGACTTCGCTCGTCGGTGTCGCCTCTCCCCCGATGGCGCCGTCGTCCCGCCGCCCTCGTGTGCTGACCAGGATGAGCTGGTCCGTGTGAGTGAGATGTACGGCGTCCTTGAGGCCATGTACCCCAACATCTCGCCAACGACGTCATGCAGACCCTCCTCATAATGATCGGCAAGAAACAACCCAACAAAACCTGCATCTTCAAGTGAGAGCAGACAAACGAAGGGCATCGCGCCATTCTCTATGCGATTGTGCCTTTGCCCGTCTGGGGTGTCTGTGTGTGGTCTGTGTGTGTGTCAGGAGTTCGCTGCACGGCTCGTCGTATGCGAACATGATGCAGCGTGTGCTGGGGCGGCGCGGCCTCCTTTTCGTCATCAAGTGTGACGACACCAACACCATCGCAGTCTTCGCCGACACCAAGCTGCAGCTGCCAGCCGACCCCACGTGTCAGCTGTACTTCGGCTGCCCCGTGTCGCTCTTCTCAGTGTGCGGTGCGTTTGAGGAGGGCATCACCAAGATCGACCTGCTCCACGACGAGCACTTCGTGTGGGCGGCGGGCACACGGGGGGCGGTGACGGACAAGAACGGTGAGCCCTGGGGCAAAATGTGCATCGCTGGCGGCCGTCTGTGGCTGGGGAATGGCGAGCACGGCCCGACTGACGACCTTCTCAACTGCAGCCAGTGGGTGAAGAAGAAGGAGCTACCGGGCAACAGGAAATTGGGCAAGACCCACAACTTCACCGCCCAGCGGGTGGAGGTCTTCCAGGTCAGCCAGCGAGGCATTTGAGATCTGGGTGGGGGTGGGGTATCATGAGACCTTTGTGCTCTCTCTGTGCAGGTGTGGAGTGCTGTGCCGGCCGGCCGACCCCATCCTGTCTGAGGCTGACCTGCGAGCACTCGTCGACGCCACCGGCAAGACGGATGCGACCCCTCACCTACTGTACAAGTGAGCAACCGACGACAGACAGACAGGGAGGCTGTTGGTGCCTCGTGAATGATATCCCCTTGCTGGCTGCCTTGGTCTGTCTGTCTGCCTGTCTGTGTTTCAGGGGTGAGCGTGACGGCTGGGAGCCCGAGGCCATGTTCAAGAATGTGGGCGATGCCACCGACCTCCTGCTGCTCCTCAAAGACCTCGGCGGCCCCATCATCGCCTCCCACATCGAGGGCGGTCTCACCTCGCCCGCCGACCCCACCGCAGTGGCGACGACCCCCTGCGCTGTGTCGCTCTTCTCGGTGCGTGGTGCGTTTGAGGGCAACGGCATCACCAAGATCGAGCTGCCACAGGACAAGCAGGACGTGAGGGTGGCGGGCACACAGGGGGCGGTCCAGGACAGAAACGGTGAGCCAGTCGCCATAGTGTGCATCGGTGACATGACCGACGATTCTCCTGGCCGCCTGTGGCTGGGGATCGGCTATCACGGCTCGGCAGCCGATGTTCGCAGCTGCCAGCAGTGGGAGAAGAAGGAGGAGCTACCGGCCGACAAGAAGTACATCGGGACCACCGACAACAAGGGCCGCGTGTGGCTGGCCTCCAGCTTCAACTTCACGGCTGCCGACATGGAGATCTTCACACTGCAGGTCAGAAAGAGAAGGAAAGACACACACGATGAATGATCCATCTCCCTGTGTGTATGTGCAGCCGTCTGCTGGGTGGCAGTGGGTGAGTGCCGTCGCCTCTGTCATGATGGACTCACGATCGACGTGACAGCTGCTGAGAGAGAGACAGGCAAACGTGTGTTTGTGTGATAGACGTGTCTGAGGTGCATTGACACGTCGAATAGCCGATTTCTTTTCACCGACGATGCACAAACACACATGGCGTCCGTGTGTGTGTATGGGAGGCGGCGACTCGTTTTTGGCTGTCGGTGTGCGCACAGTGTCTCTTTTGGCCAATTGGGGGCGGCGGGTGCATTTAAGCCATCGAAGAGGATTCTATCCATCTAAGTCTGTGTGTGTCTTCATGTCTATAGCCAGCCGATGGAATGAATCCCTTTATCGACGGACTTGTGTGCGTGTGGCGTGCTGCACGTATCCATACGTGTGAGGCTGTACAGACAACACCGGGGCACTCTCATCTCGATGATTCCTCTTGACACACACGGTCCATCACACACACACAGTCATGTAGCGTCCATCGACAGTCATCATCCACTCACCCGCCCATGTTGCGTGTGGGGCTTCCTCGTCCCATGTGGTGTGTCACCGCATTTTCATTCGTTGGCGTCATTCTGCTGCCTGCCTCATGTGCAGGGGGCGCGGAGACAAACAGCAGAACAACGCCGTCGATGCGAATGCATGACAACAAACCACACGGAGAGAGACGGGCAGACCAGCGCACACACACAGAACGAACGAAAAGGGAGTCTAAGCTGATGGGTGCAAAGAAAGCCATCGCTTGCGCGAAGCCACGGCCATCAAAAGAAACTCAGTTCGGCCTGTCTGACACACCCGATCAGTCAGTGAGTCGTTCAGTCAGTCAGTCAGTCAGTGAGTGAGTCGCCTCACCCCTGTCACTGCCCGCCCCCCTGTCCAATTCTGCCATGCGTCGCCCACGGGCACGCCCCTCTGGTGGTCCGCCCAGGTGTGTTGCCCGGCGGCGGCATCGGGTGCCCCCCCGGCCCGGGGATGCCGTGATGCGTCGGGTACTGCAGTGGTGCTTGGTTTGGCATCATCATCACATGTGCTGGGGCTGGGGATGGGGCGGGGAGGACCACTGCAGGAGGCGGTGCCGACGGCGGGTGCGGCATGGCAGCAGTGTGGTGGTATGTGAAGGGCGGCGGGCAGATGTAGCTGGGTGTGTTAGGCCTCACTGGGGGCGCTAAGGAGGGGGGCGGGCGGAGGTGAGGGGCCTGGTACGGCATAGCGGAGAATGAGAAGCCGGGAGCGGCAGCAGACACCGGTGCCGCCACCTGAGGCACAGACCGATGCACACATCGATCGACGACGAACGACATCTTTGGATGCATCAATTAGGTCTTCATCGATCTACTTACAGGCACGCTCGATGGCGCGGCGATGGCTGCCGTGGCCGCGCCAGTCTGCAGTGAGTGAACGACATATTAACACAGAGATGGCGTGCAGGGCTGTATGTCGATTGGTGTACCAGGTTTTGATCCGGCGGGAGCGTGTATGTCTCCATTATCCCAGCTGCACAGAGGCCGAGACGGGGAGGGTGAGACAGGTCATCGCAGCGCTCGCCGGCTTGGCTTTGGCTTACCTATCATCTGGTACATCTGATCTAATGCTTCGTTGATGCCGGTGGCAGCTCCACCCGCCAAACTCTTGAGCGTCGATTGGAGAAGGAGGAAACCCACGCTGGGCGGCTGGGCGGCGGGCAGAGGGTTTTCACACGGCAACTCGTCAAAACCGTCTGAACGCACGAACGAGATGAGAACGGACGGTCAGACAGGCCATGGTGTTTTGGTTTTGTGTGTGTCTCAGGGGGGGGGGGGGGGGGGGGGGGG